GCATCAGAACGTCATTCATATACCGCTGATAGGTTGCGGGACCGTTCGTCAGTCCAAATGGCAACACTTTGCACTTATAGGATCCATAGCGAGTCCGAAAAGTCGTGTACTCTTCCGAGTCGGGGTGCATCCGTATACGATGGAAGGCTTGTCTGATATCTAGCTTCGTGAAGATTTTTGCTTTCGACACCCGTCCTAGTAGTTCATCGATACGCGGGATGGGGTAGGGATCGTTCCGGGTGAGACCATTTAACTTCCGGTAATCGATGCAAAATCTTAATTTGCCATCCGCTTTCTTTACGAATAGGATAGGGGATGCAAAGGGGCTGTTGCTGTTGACGATGAATCCCTTTTCCAGGTTTTCCAGCAGGTATTGCTTGGTAGCCTTAAGCTCTTCGGTGCCCTGTCGATATAACGGGGAGAAAGCATTTGGTAAAGGGGCTTCGAGCTGTATCTTGTGGTCGTATATGCGGTGGGGGGGAATTCGATCCGATTCCAACTTCGAAAAGACATCGGTGTACCTCCGGTGCATATGCGGAAGCTTCTGCTGGATGAGGCGGAGCGTTTCTTCGTCCTCTACCAACTCCTTTTCATGAATGATCTGATCGATTTCGTAGATGCTAGTTTGAAAAAACTCGGAGTCGTTTCGCATCATCTCGTGGTGGAAAGCATTTGCACTGATTTCGCATATATGCATGGGCGTAAACCTATGTATTAGGGTTTTCTGCGGTGGGGGAGAAACCTCCTGGTTTCGTGGTGGGTTCGATGGCGTATCGGTGATCTCTTCGTAGTCGGAAGTTATCACTTTCATTTCCATTGAACGTCCGCCTGCGCGGCGTCTGTCTTCGCGGTGGATTGCGAAATCCCGGCGATTCGCATCCGACTGGTATGCAGGATGTTTAATGGACGTTTCGCGTGAGTGGTAGGGCAAGGTGATCTCCTTGCTCCAGCTAGGAGTCGGCGGGTACTCCTTTGGCCATACTAACCGGCTCTTTGCAGAGTCGAGTAGTATTCGGAAGCGGCTGAAAAGCTTCTTCCCAATTATCACATCTTGTGCTCCGAGGTCCAGGAGCACAAAGAGGCAGTTATATATTCGGCGTCCTTCGACTGTTAAGTGCAACCGAATATACTCCGATACGTGACTTTGGATTTTTCGCTGAAAACCACGTATGGGTACAGAGTAGGGCAGTTTCCGTATGGGGCTCTGAAGCGCCTTCGACAGTCGTAGCGCGAAGGGCTTGTTGATGACGAGGTATCCGTTTGCTCCTGTGTCTGCGAGAGCCTTCGTTTGCACACCGAGTCCGTTCAGACTCAGCGTCGTGTCGACTAAGAACTGGGTTCCGCCCAAGAGTTCTTGTAGGTCGAGATCTCGCAGATCACATTTGCGTAGACCTAGGAAGGAGCCTTTCCCTAGGCCTCGTCGTTTTCCTCCAGGGATGCATCCGATTGGAGTTCGACTGCCTCCTCCCACTGCTCTTCGGGTTCAGGGGCTTCGCGGTCAATCTCTTTGACTGTGGGGTTGAGCGGGCACCTGTCCTGGAAATGACCGGGCTTCCCGCATTTGAAACAGTTTCCGGACGCAGCCGGCACGGCGGTCCGCACGCGACCTGTTATGTCCGGCTTGGGGGCGGTGGGTATGAAAGGAGTCCTCTGGAAGGAACCCAACGGACTTCTTGTCGTCTTCGGTGGTTGGGTCTTGGCGGCCTCCACAGGCGGGAACCTGGATGAGCCGAGGCGGGCCCGTCCTGGGAAGTTCGACTCGCCGCTCTTGGACTGGGAGCTCAACTCGCCGTTCCTGCGTCGCTCTTGGTCGAAGGCGGTTAAGGCTCGGACCATGGTGAGGTAATCGCCTTTCCATTGGTCCTTCACGACCGCCACGCGGCTGCGGAATTGCGGTGTGAGCTTGTTCCACATATACCGAAACCACTCCGATTGTGATACTTGTCCCGTAATCGCCGCACTTTGGAAGCGGGCTTTGAACTCGGGGAAGGTTTCGTGTAAGTGACCCTTTTCGCCCATCTGCATATCGTCGAATTCGTTCCGGGCCTGTTCGGTCTCATTACCCGTAAGGTAATATGATCCTAATAGGTCCATCATTTCGTCTGCGCTCTGGAAGCCATGCGTATCCGATAGGTATTGGGGTTCCAGATATTTCTTTGCCAGGCCGGTCGTAGTTCCCCATATCAACGCTCTTCTCGAGACGTCGGTAGGGTAGTGGTCCTCATTGACTACAAGTCGGTCCCGAATGGACGCGCTCCATTGCATGAAGGTATGTTCTATCCCATCGCTGAGCGGCGTAATCTTCTCAGAGATGGTGGATTTCTTGTAGCGATTCGGAGGGTCCTCGGTGTACTGTCGAGGTAGAGCCGGGATTGAAAGAGAGCGCGTGGTGCCAACCGGAGGCAGTCGAACGGTGCCGGGCGTGTTTCGCATTGGCGACACGGGCTGTTCGTCTTCGTCGACCTCAATGGTGCGCACTGGGGTGTCCGCCGGTGGTGGCGTAGACGGTATTCGGGTCTGGCTGGCTACGAGGCTGGCTACCATCGCCTTGAGCTCCCGCATCTCGTTCTCCAGGTTCGCTATGCGATCCGGGGGGCTTTCGGATGGTCCTGCGGTCGTGCCCGCTGTGGCGGTTTGCCTAGTTGTCATTCGTAGCGGTTGACCGTCATTATCGGGTGGTGGGTTTTGTGTCGTCTTGCGCGACATCTTGATTCGGGGGTGTATCGACTCGCAGTCGATACGGAAGAGTCTGACTTCCGGTAGCTCGTAGCTATCAGCACTCTTGTTCACAATTGCCTCTGTGCTAAGGGGGTTCTTTAGGATCTCGTATCCTATTCGGCGCCAACGCGTCGGCGACTTTACCAGCTTGTTCTGAAGAATCAAACCCTGATCCACTGGCTGTCCGTGAGATCTCTGGAATCACGGCTATTTGAAGTCGTCAGGTCTCTACTCCGAAACATTACCGAGTCGCAGTCGATGGTGCAACGGTAGTTCTCCTAAGTCGTTCCGTTGTGGGATATTATTTAAGTACGGCCGTCCCCGGCAGGCGTGATCTTTTTTGTATAATGTAAGGACACAGGGAATACGGCTCTCCGTAGGTGCATATGGGAGTGCGAGTCGGAGGTGATGCTGTATTCTATCCTATAGGTCTACTACGAAGGATACAAAAAAGATGAAGGGGGAGCTTATAGCTTCCTACCCCTTATGTACCTAAATGGGGTCCGACTCGGCTAGGCCTTAGCGTACCGGTAGATCCACTCCCGTCTGCCGCCCGAATCGACCCCGACCCTAGAACGTCTATGCTGCTATACTACTATGTCGCCTATTCCGCGTTGTCTTACGGGTCCGAGGGTACCCCGTGTAAGGAGGCATCCTTACATCCTCTATGGTATTAATGTAAGCCCTTTCCTCGTCCATTCATTCCTAAAGGTGAGCCAACTTCGATGCCATGCTCTCGCCCTAGTCTGCCGTTTGTAGGGGTTCTATGCAAAGATGAGATGAAGGCGACGATGAAAGGGATCAGATAAGAAACCTTTGAGTAGTTGGCTTCTATAGGCGTAGCTCTTAGAGCTGGCTTAGTAGCCTTGGTCGCTAGTGTCGCCCCCCTAGAGGTCGCTCAAGTAATCCGTCTTTCTAAGCTTGCCATCCCGACCTAGTAGGCTAGATATAGGTTGAGTTAATAGAATTGTAAAGCGTAGGCCTAAGGTCTCACAGGAGTCTAGGGGACCAGGTCAGGAGGCAGGAAGGTATTGTATTGTATAAGCATAATAGGTCTACATAGATATAGCGACTATTGACTAGAGGCCTTCTTCCGAGGCCTCCAACCCCTTTTATCTAGGCGCCTTGTGCCCTACTTTACTGAGCTCTACGGGCCCCATGAAAGTGGCCTCACGTGGTGGCACGTGATGGCCTTCCTTACACCTACGCTGTCTTAGTCGTCGGCCGATTTGCTGCAAAACCTACGCAAACTCACAAAGCCACCGTAACTCGAATATTCCGATACCTCCGTAAGACAATCGACTATGTGCTTGTCTTCAAAGGTCCACTAGCAGCGCTGTCTGGCTATAGTGATTCTGATTAGGCGGGAGACTATGACACTTGGAAATCAACTTCAGGCTACGTTTTTAATGTAGGAAGTGCGGTGATTAGCTGGTCCTCAAAGCTACAATCAACTGTTGCACTGTCATCGTGCGAGGCTGAATATATCGGCCAAACGAATGCTACAAAAGAGGCAATTTGGCTACGACTACTTAATGAAATACAACCCGAAGCAGCATACAAGGCGCAAGCGACGATTATATACTGCGATAACCAAGGCGCTATTGCACTTGCGAAGAACCCTTAATTTCACGCCCGTACTAAACACATTGATATACAATATCATTTTGCTATAGAGCTTCAGTATATCGAGACAGAGAGTCAGGTAGCCGATGGCTTGACAAAGGCGTTAGACAAGATCAAGTTCGAAGGATTCAGGAAGGCAATTGGGCTGGAGCAGGCATGAGAAGACATGGCAGGTCAGGCTTTTCCCTCCTAATATAAGGGGTTTTTATTACCTAGAGATGCTGAGATATGAGCTGGTTTATCCAGCCGACTGATACACTGCGATTTTCCCTGAGATGTCAAGGGTTTTTTGGTCGTATCGGAACTATGACTTTATTTATATGACTGCTGCCAGAGAACAATGGCTAGACTATAGCTCGCATTCCTGAGTGGGAGTGTTGAATTTGTCAGTACTGCAAGCCCCTGATCGAGACTGGGTATATAGTCAGCGATCCCCTCCTGTATTTTAGTTGAAGTCTAATAGAAACGTCAACCAATTAGAGCACCAAAACATCAGATCATTGCTATAATGACAGAGCAAAGATAGCGGAAAATCAGGAAGTAGAAAGTCTATTCAAAAGGGCGGAGCTGTTACAGTTGAACAAGCACGAAAGAAGATTCATGTAGTAAAGGAGCACGTTATAGAAGAAGCAAGATAGAGAAGAGAGAGAAAGCGCATGGTTAACCTTGAGTATAAGCTGCAGCTCCGTGCTGGCATTGATGCACGGAGAGCGGAACAGGCTCGGAAAAGGGAATTACTTGAATTCCAAAGGAGTAACCCAGACACTAAGCCACCGAGGGAACTACTCCAAGTAACCATCGACCCTGGGATTAAGCGTAAGAGACAGGAAGAAGAGGAGGAAGATGAGATGGAGTTGCAGCGACAACTAGCAGCTAAAGAAGGCAGTTTTGTCGGTTTTTCAAGCCTTAACTACGACTTGATTGCAAGCGAAGATGAATCACTGCCCGACAACCACATAGATCCAAATTTGTTTTAAATAGTTTCAATTTATTATTTACCTATCTGTTATGGTACGCGTCGTCGGCATCAGCCGAGATGAATGGTCCAACCTAACACACCATTCGAGGCCATCGTACCATGGTTCCCATAATGCATTTATATACCCCCCCAGCGCCAGGCCAGGCCAGCTTCCCATCCATCCTCTCGCCATACTTTCCTACTGCAGTATCTCTCAAAGTCTCACAACACCACCGCGCTTCAGCCCCCTATCCAGTTTGGCCAAATGGACTCAATACGCTGTCTCTTGCCAGCCGCCCTCCTACCCCTAGCCACGCTAAGATTCCGTACCAAGCCCGTCGCCGTGGACTCCTCAACTCTCTCCAAGCTCCCTCCAGAGCTTCTCCTGCGCATCGCCTCCTACCCCCCCCCCGCCTCCGCAGGCGCATTCTCCCTATGCAGCAAGAGGCTATACGCCCTCCTCGCGATCCCCTACTTGAAATGCCTGCATGGCCATCCCCCCTTCAGCACAGCTGAGTTCCTTAGGCTCCTCGAGCCTGACTTACCAGACCATATCGTTTGCTACTATTGTGAGAAGCTGCATAAGATTAAGCGCTTGGAGCGGCATATCAAGTTTACCAAGCGGTGCGATATCCCAGTCAACGAAGCGATGCGGTCATACATCCATCCCCGCTTCAGCTATGTTATTTTTCAAATGGCTATGAAGCGCCACCGCCAAGGCCTCGACTACTCCTCCCCCCTAAAGCTACTCTCATACAACGAATGGAGCTGGATTGGACCTGACGAAATCAAGACCTCATTCCGCATTGTCGACGGCTCCCTCCTCCTCCGTCAACAACACATCCTCCTTGTTCACCCCAACAACGACCAGATGTTTACCAACACAAAGATCATGATCTGCCCGCACATCAAGCAGCTCCGCGGCACGATCAACTGCCAATCCAGTGGCATGGGGAGGTACAACATGGTCTATACCCCTGGCAGCATAGAGATAGACCACACGCCTACCGCGGTCGAGTGTGACTGCTGTGCCCACCAGGGGAAGAAGGACGAGGGGAACTGGTCCGGGCTGGTACGATGCCGCGACTGCGCGACCGAGTTCCGCGTCGATACGTTGGGGATAGGGCAATCTGGTAAGGCGTATGTGGTGACGCGGTGGAAGGATCTAGGGGAGGGCAGGGACGCGAATGATTCGGTGTGGTGCGCGCATATGGGTGAGAAGGGGTTACTGGGGGGTGCGGGGAGGGAGGCAGCGGGGAGGTCCATTTGTGTGAGGTTTGAAGGAGAGGGGTGGCGGGGTGGGCTGGAGTCGCTGGTGATGCCGAGGGAGATGAAGCGGTTGGTGAAGTATAGGTATTGTTTTTGTGAAGTTTAATCCATTGGGTGAGAGCTAGGGGGGAGCTCGGCGTGGATTTTTGCGCTGCGGAAGGGCCGATTTGCGCAGAGTCCTAAGGGGCAGGGGAAGGAGCGGAGGAGCTGGAGTTTAGGTCGCTCTTAACAGCTAAGGAGAGGAAGCGGCTGCTGAAGTTTAGCTGTTAACTATCATATATACCTAAAGAGGAAGTTGCAACCACGATGATGTTTACTTACATCTTACTTACATTATCCCACGGGCTCCCCCGTCTTCTCTCTTTCTCTCATTCTACTTCACACACCGATCTTCATTCTGGCCATCATATTTCTTGGCTACTGAAACAGCTCTTCTTTTTCTTGGTTTCTCACATCGATTTCCAGGCCCCTTTTCTTACCTTTCCCCCCCCTTTCGATTCTCAGGGTCTTTCCTTTTTTCCTCTCGTCTCCCCCCCATCGACTACGGAACGATGTCGTATGATCTGGCGATGCTCGCCCTGGTCGCGGTCGGCATCATCCCTGGAGCCATAGTGGCCACATTCGTCGTCGCGGGGGTCTGTTTTCCCAATTCCTGGCTCGGCAAGCTAACAAAGGCACCACTCTCTCCCGGCACTCAGGCAGCGACTACGATCCGACAGAACAACGATGCTGCGCAGAGAACGGCTGACGCGGTAGAACAGAACTTGGAGCAGCAGACGGAAGTTACAACTGCGCTGCAAGGGGTTATGGTGGACCAACAGAATTGAGGACCGCCTTCCTGGGGCAAGGCGTTAGATGGCCCAGGGTCTCCCGAGGTCTCGAGAGAAAGTTATCAAGAGGCTTAGGGGGCCCACCAGCAACGAGCTCGCACTTTTACGCAGTGCTGGTGACTAGTACCCCTCGGGGTGAAGCTAAGTCGAGCTCACAACAAACACAGCAAAGAACGTCGAGTGCGGCGGGAAAACTGTGTTTGTATGGCATCTCCCCCGTCCCCATCCCTTCCCATCTATCCCCATCCCATCCCAATCCACCCAGAACGGCCTAGTGGAGGACGCGCGTTGTTTCCAAATCTCCACCGAACAGTGTTGCCCGAATACCACTCTGAATACTACTCGAGCATCCTCGAGTAGAGTACTCATATTGAAGCTCGAATACCAGTACTCGAATACCAGTACTCGAATACCATGAGTAGTACTCGCATATAAAATGAAAATTGATAAATAACAGTATATATACTAAGCTAGCTCTCATTATCTGCATCATCACCACTGTCTTCGTCATCGCCTTGTGATATAACACCCCAATTCCTTAAGCATAGTAGATATCTAAGTGTAGACGGCGACAGTCGGTTTCGTTTCTTTGTAATAATGTCGCCGCCAACACTAAATACTCGTTCCGAGTCTGCTGATGTAGCTGGAACAGCTAGGTGGTCCTTTGCTATACAAGCAATTGTTAGATATTAGTATTGCTTACTATGCTAATAATTGAGAATATCTATGTCCCTGCCAACTGTTGGCTCCTTCATCCATCGCTTCCATTCCAGCTCAGTATTATAATTGCTTTGTGATACATATAACTCATCTTCTAAGTCTATATCAATGTTCATAGCTTGCTCTGTATCTAGATCCTCATCTTCAATACTATTAATGACGTTTGGCGGCCTAAATATCGATAAAAGCAGTCCTGCCATTGTGCTTTTGCCCTGTTCTTTTTGATTGACTGTGTGCTGTCTTTCTATATAATATTAAAGACGTTAAAATTATACTAAGGATCACAAATTGTAGCAATCGTAGAGTGACTCTGTTGCTGATTTGTTGCTAGAGTATAGTAGTCATTAGGCTTCTTTAATGCTATCGAAGTAGTATGAGCAACTAGGCTTCATTCTAGTAGCTCACTTCTCTTATCTTCAAGCTTCTTAATCATTCTCATATACTGCGGAACGGCATAGTTAATAGTTGGATAAGAAGAGCCTTGTAACTTTTCAGTTAGGCAGATAAACTATAGCAGTTCCATGATGCTCTATCTGTAGGGAACTTTGGCTTTGCAAAAACGTATGAACTTCTAACAAGAAAGTTCTACTAGCTTTGCAAAAACTTATGAACTTCTAACAGGAAAGTTCTACTGGCCTAGTCTAAGGACTACTCTTCAAGACTATATATCTTCTTGCACTACTTGCAACTAAAACAAACCTAGACGGCAAAAGCCCTACAGCCTCTTGCAGCCTCTACCTATACTAGAACGCCTATGGGACTCCATATCCATTGACTTTATAGTCAAGTTGCCTCCTTCTATCCTAAAACGGGGTGCTACCCCTTATGACTCTATCCTTGTGGTGGTAGAAAGGCTCACAAAAATGGCACATTTTGAGCCTTGCAATGAGACTATCACAGCTTCTGAACTTGCGTGGCTATTCCTTAAGGTGGTCTTTAAATATCATGGAATTCCTAGACACTAGATCTCAGATAGGGGAGCAGTTTTCACTTCAAACTTTTTTAAGGAGTTCTCTAAACTCTTAAACATGGAACAACGCTTCTCTACAGCTTATCACCCTCAAACAGATGGCTAGATAGAGAGAGTCAACTCTGTACTTGAACAATATCTAAGAATTTATACAAACTATGCTTAAGACAACACACTGTCTTGGGAAACAGAGACGAAGGGTCAATGACGTGTAATGAATCATAGAGGGTTGTAGCAATCGTTGAGTAGTATTGCTCTTGTTGTTGGTGTGATAAGTCAAAATGTATAGTGACTTGTAGGTTTGAGGAAGAGATTTCTAAGTTTGCTCTTGAGTTTGATAGCAAACTGAGTGCAACGAATGTCAGTATGACACCACCTACTTGGACTATCTATAATGTCTTCCATGCATCTCTCTTGTCTAAGGCACAAGAAAGTTCCTTAAGACCACTTCAGTCTCCTCCACCTCCTGTTCTGATTTTGAATCAACCAGAATATGAAGTAGAGTCTATCCTTGACAAAAAGACACTTAGAGGTCAGGACTACTTCCTTGTTAAGTGGAAAGGCTATCCTATAAGTGACAACACTTGGGAGCCTAAGAGAAATCTAAAAAATGCTTATTCTAGAATGTCATACTGACATTCGTTGCACTCAGTTTGCTATCAAACTCAAGAGCAAACTTAGAAATCTCCTCCTCATACTGACATTCGTTGCACTCAGTTTGCTATCAAACTCAAGAGCAAACTTAGAAATCTCCTCCTCAAACCTACAAGTCACCATACATATCTTGGCTTATCACACCAACAACAGAAGCAATACTACTCAACGATTGCTGCAAACTCTTCTACTACATCTGTTTATGCTACATACATCATGGCATATCATTTGGACACTCATTGAACAAGTTATTAAGAAAATCTCCTCCTTAAGGGGGTGGGCCAATACTACCACATGGCATATCTCTACCAACTAGAGGCCTAGGAACATGAACAATAGCTCTAGAAGCTTCTACAACCCTCTATGATTCATTACACGTCATCGCTCCTTAGTTACCCACAAGATTGGTTAAGTTATGACATAATTTGTCTATAGGTACTCTGACCTTGGACCTCCTTTTCACTTCCTATAGGCTAGGAACCCAAGAGATGGTTCTATGGGATTCTCTTACATTTGCTACATGATTAGCAAGCTAGTTGTGGGTCGCACTTGATTTCTAATACATTTACCAAGCCTGGTTAGTCATGGAAAGTCATGGAAAATGAGAGAACTACACTCCTTTGGCATAAATAGGATTGCCCTTTCCTTAAGAAAGGGCAAGCAGGCAATACAGTAGATCGACTAGCACATACTTCTACGTCTTTTCCAAGCTTCCAAGCATTGATCTTGTTACTCCTTGTTTCTGAAAACTCAGTGAGGTGTTAACCTCTGACTTACCCCTGAGTTCCCAGACTCAACATTTGTTGCAACTTGTCTGAACCACTTCACTACATCACACACCTGATTGCTGCATTGTGGAATAGTCTAAGCTACAACCCTTTGGCTATGTTTCCTAAGACAGTGTGTTGTCTTAGTAAAATCATCCCTTCCTTGGGTGGCTAGATTCTCACATCTGGTGCACCCACCATTACATAGAATTTCTTTCTAAGAAAGCGACCTGGCTACTGCTCGAGTGCTCCTCTTCTCTTTCCTTTCTTCTCTAGATTGAGTTTAATTCATAATACCCAACTGGCGCCCTATGCCTTGGTGAACTGTGACATAAAACTCAATCTCTCTTATACCTCTTTTCCTGCTCTTTGCAGTGTGGGTAATAGTCCAAATAGTCCGTCCAAGGCCTTAAACTGGACTGGACTGTTTAAATATTGAGCAAACTGGACTGGACTGTATATTTATGTGGTCAAACTGGACGGACTGTGAAGCTGACTAATAAACTGACAGTTTGTATATAAATTACATCCAAGATTTCAAACACTCTGTAGCCTCGATAGTCTCCACCCCCAAGTTATTCCTTCTATCAGTAACTGTGAGCAACGCACCTGAAAATAGCCTTTCTGGTTCTGCTGACATAGCTGGAATTGAAAGAATATCAATGCCCATTAAAGAAAGATTAGGATACATTAGCCGCTGCGTAGGTTCTAACCACCATGCAAGTGCATCTTTGACCTCTGACAAGATGGGAGCTTGAAGATACCTAGCATACTCATCTACCTCTGTCTGTACACCGGCTTTCTTCCTTCTCCAAGCCTGATACTGATTTTCCCGCTGCTGATGCTGCACCTGTTTGCTCGTGGAGGAAGAACAATAGCTTTGGACTTGTATTTTTCTTCCCAGAATTCCTGCATCTTAACCTTTCCTCTAGTGATCCACACATCCTCCCAAGTAGATTCGAAGTACTCCCATTTAAATGCCGGGCACAGTACCATTGCTGCTATATAGACCGGGGTTCTACCTGTTAGAGCATAGTACTTGTCTAGTTTAGCCCAACCAGAGTTGCAACATGGGGCCATGTATCTATCCTCTTGATATTGTATCTTTGCGGCCTCAAAATGCTCTAATAGAAAGTCCATAGTAGGTAAAACACGGTCTAATGTGCCCACGTGTCCTTCAGTTGATAGTGTGGCGTCCTCAAAATACTGAAGAAAGTCCCTAATCTTCTGCAAATAACCCCAGTCTGTTTCTGAAAGTGCGTCCTTTTCTAACTTGTCTCTAGCTGCAAAGACATCAATAGCTTCGCGTCGTAGTTGTCATACTGACATTCGTTGCACTCAGTTTGCTATCAAACTCAAGAGCAAACTTGGAAATCTCCTCCTCAAACCTACAAGTCACTATACATATTTTGGCTTATCACACCAACAACAAGAGCAATACTACTCAACGATTGCTACAACCATCTATGATTCATTACACGTCATCGCTCCTTAGTTACTGGGCCGATATTACCACATAGCATATCTCTACAACCCTCTATGATTCATTACATGACATCACTCATACTACCACATGACATATCTCTACCAACTAGAGGCCTAGGAGCATGAACGATAGCTCTAAAAGCTCCTACGAACCTCTATGATTCATTACATGTCATCGCTCTTTAGTTACCCACAAGATTGGTTAAGTTATGACATAATTTGTCTATGACATAATTTGTCTATGACATAATTTGTCTATGACATAATTTGTCTATAGGGGTACTCTGACCTTGGACCTCCTTTTACTTCCTATAGGCTACGAACCTAAGAGATGGTTCTATGGGATTCTCTTACGTCGACTACAGTTACCAAGCCTGGTAATCATGGAAAGTCTTGGAAAATGAGAGAACTACACTCCTTTAGCATAAATAGGATTGCCCTTTCCTTAAGAAAGGGCAAGCAGACAATACAGTAAATCGACTATCACATACTTCCACGTCTTTTCCAAGCTTTCAAGCATTCATCTTGTTACTCCTTGTTTCTGAAAAGTCAGTGAGGTGTTAACCTCTGACTTACCCCTGAGTTCCCAGACTCAACATTTGTTGCAACTTGTCTGAACCACTTCACTACATCACACACCTGATTGCTGCGTTGTGGAATAGTCTAAGCTACGACCCTTTGGCTCTGTTTTCTAAGACAGTGTAAGGATGCCTCCGTACCTAGATACTCGAAGAACCTGTCTCAGAACTGTTACGGTCACTACAAACATGGAATCCGACTCGGTGGGGTTTCGAACCAGTAGAGGATCATATAGCGAGTTACACTATAGTGGGGGACGGTAAGTGTATAGGGTTCAGGGCCGATGTAGACCTGTTGCGGTGGAAGGTTCAGGGCTAGGGTTGGGATAACCGAGTCGGGCCCGTTTCGGGAGTTAAGGAAACAGACTCAACGGGGTTCCCCCTTCATCTTTTTTGTATCCTTCGTAGTAGACCTATAGGATAGAATACAGCATCACCTCCGACTCGCACTCCCATATGTATAGGATAGAATACAGCATCACCTCCGACTCGCACTCCCATATGCACCTACGGAGAGCCGTATTCCCTGTGTCCTTACAGACAGTGTGTTGTCTTAGTAAATTCATCCCTTCCTTGGGTGGCTAGATTCTCACATCTGGTGCACCCACCATTACAGTAGTGGATCCAAGGCGCAGTCAATCATCTTAAACCAAGAGTTCCATCTAAGAACTCTACCTTTGTAATGTGGTTAATATAGGCCTTAATGAATGTCTTAATTTGCTAACTGTACGCCTGCTTTAACACACTAAAACACCTAACATCAAGTGGCTAGGTTAGATGGGATGAATAGGGAGGTAGTCTAAGAGTAATAATGTTGTGTGTCTTGTAGTACTCTTAGAACTCAGCCGATTCGTGGCTCTTATGCCCATCTAACACTAGTATTTGATATGGACCCCTTATACGTGTACTAGTATGTTTGTCAAAGTGTTTCAACCATTCTAGACCTGTCTCATTGTTTGTCTATCCATTGCTTGTTGGTTTAACAACCTAGTTATGAGGGAGGCTGCCATCTATGTACTAATTTAAAAGGTGGTTCCTGCCCTAAACAACTAGAAATGGAGGAACACTCTAGCCTTCACTGTTGATACAAGCAATTGCTATAGCCTATTCCCGATTGCCTAGTTAAACTGCCTTGCCTCTACCACGTCGATCTACACAGATAACAACCATTACAGGGCAAATAACATCCATCATGAAGCCGGTTTCGTCGAAGTTGTAGAAGTCATAGTCCAAAACCCTGTATTTTGCCCTTATATTTTCAACTAGTCAGAACCACGAGCTAATTAGCTTAGAATCTTCGCATAAGGCCCTTTGGAAATCATAAACGCGATTAAAATGCATCATAAGGGCTGGTTGTCGCTTTACAAATCGATGCGCCTAGAGCTTTCTAACGCGTTGCTCTCTACGCGTTTATAGGATCAAATTTGCCATATCTTCCACGCTAGTTAACTGGGGCGCAAATCCTCTTGTATCCATATTAACGTAATTCACCCTTGAGTGGGCCACACCCCCGAGTGGGCCACCCGCTCTTATTTTCGCGCATCTACGCATACATCTATCTTCTACCAACCACTATGCCACCAATTCGCAAGAAATCGAAACAGGATTTAGCCCATCAGGAAGGGCGCATCTTACTTGCAATACAAGCTATTCAAAGAGAAGAAATTAGCTCTATACGTGATGCAGTGACGCGTTTCTCAAGTACCACGTACCACACTTGCGCGACGCCTCAATGGTATCACAAATCGTGCAGATACGCGCCCTAGCAGCCATAAGATGACCCAAGAAGATGAAGAAGCGCTTAAAAAATGGGTGCGAGGGGCAGCTCCGCGCCCACATATGGTGGGAGAAATGGCCAATCTACTACTTGCTGCGCGCGGAATTGCACCAGTGGGGGCAAATTGGGTTAGCAAGTACATCAAGCGCACCCCAAGCCTCAAATCACGATTCTCACGACGGTACGACTACAAGCGGGCCCAGCAAGAAGATCCACGAGTGCTACGTGAGTGGTTTAAGAGGGTTGAGAGTGCTATCGCTATGTATGGTATTCTACCTGAGGATATCTACAATTTCGATGAAACTGGGTTTGCGATGGGGCTATGCGCGACAGCGAAGGTTGTTACTAGGGCTGAATACTATGGTCGTAGATCAGTTTTGCAGCCAGGTAATCGCGAGTGGGTAACTGTGATTGAAACAATAGGTGCTGAAGGATACGCCCTTCCACCTATGATCATCTTCAAAGGCAAACTATATAAGGAAAGCTGGTTCCAATCAGATATACCACAAGACTGGTGGTTTGAACTTAGTGCTAATGGCTGGACTACGGATAAAATTGGTCTAAGATGGCTAGAAAAACTATTCATCCCATATGCGCGTGCGCGTGGAAGATATCGACTTTTGGTCCTAGATGGATATGGCAGCCATCTTACGCCACGCTTTAATCAGCTATGCACTGAAAATAACATCATTCCTATATGTATGCCTGCGCATTCATCGCATCTTCTTCAGCCCCTAGATGTAGGGTGCTTTGCAGGATTGAAACGTGAATATGGAAGGCTAGTGGATCAGAATGGGGATCAACCATATTGACAAGCTAGAATTCCTAGCTGCATATCCAACTGCTCGCACTGATGCATTTCAAACGAATACTATCCAGAATAGCTTTAAAGCAGCTGGATTAGTACCATTAAATGCAGAAGCTGTGCTCTCAAAGCTTAATATATCACTGCGAACGCCAACCCCAGTGCCTAGTCGACCATCTAGCAGATCTAGTGTATATCAACCACACACACCAGCTACGATTGCACAGCTCGCAAAGCACCAAAGATCAGCTAAATCCCTGCTGAAATATCGGTCAGAAAGCCAACCTACCCCTACAAAGCAGGTAATTGAGCAGATGTATAAAGCATGCAATGGAGCGATGAGAGCTATTCTTCTTTTAGAGAGGGAAAACAAGGATCTACGTGAGGCGAATCACAAACAGAAGAAGAAGAAGAGCCTATCTAATAAGCAGTTTGCTCATGAAGGGGGATTATCAGTTCAAGAAGCGCAGGGCTTGCGCTTTGGTCTAGGAGGTGCATCTACATCTGAAGGTGCAGCAGCAGCACTACCACTATTACCAGCACCAGCATTAGGTACACGACGTATATATACATGCAATATATGTAGGATGCCTGGACATAGAGCTAATTACTGCCCCGAGAGAGATAATTAGGATTGAATGGCGTTTTGTTGAATTAAATGGCTCTAAGTGTAGAAATTGGATTGGGGGTGGCCCACTTGGGGGTGTGGCCCACTCAGGGGTGAATTACGTTAGGGCAAAAGTTTTATATACCCGGTAAGTTCATAAATAAGTTTTATATACCATGGTGATTCTTACTAAGCAGGAAACCACTCAACGCGCTCGGCGCGTTGCCTCCCTCCCTCGCGTTGCCTCCCTCGCGGTTGCTCCCCCTCGCCGTCGCCCTCCTCGCTGTCCCAGCTGACTCGCTAGCCGCTGCCCTCACTGAGGCACTCGACGACTCTTCGGAAGCCCTCGTCGCGAGGCATCGGAAGTCCTGAGCTCGGCTCAGGCCCACGAGGATGGCTTCTCTTGGCGAGCTGACCGTTCCTATGAACGGTCAGCTCTACCTCGACCTAGACGCCTGGTCGAGAGTCCTTAACGACTGGGCCGAATGAGGCCGTCGAAAGGAGCGACAGCGAGGGGGCGATGGCGAGGGGGCTACGGGAGGCTACGGGGGGGGAATTGGGGGGTTTTTACTGGTCGCAGGGGGTTTCATATTATGTAGGGTATATAAAACTTATCACGTCAAATGCAGGGTATATAAAACTTTTGCCCATTACCTTACCGGCGGAGGCCGTTTTTTTTTGACCCTGCTAGCAGAGTCCAATAGGATGCTGAGTAAATCTTGTATGGGGCATATGTGGGCCGAGTGATAGAGCCTGCACAATTCCAGGACTAGTTGCCCCACACAACCTCTCCACAATGAGCTATTCCAGCACTATTATTGGTATCTTAGATAAGCTCATATATACCAAATGGTATAACGTACATGTATAGCGAAAGCGCCAAACAAGCGAAAGCGCCAAAATGATGCGGTGACCAAACCCCCCAACTAAATGTTAAATTCCTCAACAACAAAACATGCCCCATAAAAACGATGAAAGCCAATTAGTGCTAGCTATCCAGGCTATGCAAAGCGACCCAAAGTTACGCCTTCGAGTTGCTGCTAGGATCTATTCTGTGGACCACCGCAAGCTAGGTCGTCGTCTAGAAGGTGTACCTTCACGACGCGATATCCAAGCCAACTCACGGAAATTAACTAACCTAGAGGAGTCCGTCCTTGTTCAGTATATACTCGACCTAGCTGCCAAAGGGTTTCCTCCTCGGCTGTCTGTTGTTGAAGATATGGCAAGTCGACTACTTGCAACACGCGACGCGTCACGCGTTGGGTCGCGTTGGGCTTCAAACTTTGTTAAGCGGCGTGTAGAGCTCCAGACACGCTTTCAGCGCAAATACGACTACCAGAGGGCTAAGTGCGAAGATCCAGAAGTTATTAATGGCTGGTTTGAGCTTGTGCGTAACACAATTGCAAAATATGGTATCGATGAAGCAGATATCTACAACTTTGATGAGACTGGGTTTATGATGGGCGTTATCTCAACTGCTATGGTTGTAACAAGCTCAGACGGGCGGGCAAAAGCAAAGAAGGTACAGCCTGGTAATCGGGAATGGGTTACAGTAATCCAAGGCGTTAGTTCTCAAGGTTGGGCAGTACCACCATTTATCATTGTTGCAGGCAAAAACCACCTTACATCTTGGTATGAGAATAGTGGATTTTCAAGCGATTGGGTGATTTCTGTTACTGAAAATGGCTGGACTACAAACGAGAGAGGCATGGATTGGATTCAGCACTTTGAGAAGCATACAAAGGCCCGGAGTGTTGGTGGTTATCGCTTGTTAGTCCTTGATGGTCATGAGAGCCACCACTCAGATGAGTTTGAGGAGTACTGCAAGGAACACAACATTATTACGCTTTGTATGCCTGCTCACTCTTCTCATCTACTCCAGCCACTTGATGTTGGCTGTTTCGGCCCGTTAAAGCAGGCCTATGGTCGGCAAATTGAAGATATGATGCAGGCTCATATTTCTCATATTACAAAGGATGACTTCTTTCCTGCCTTCCACGCTGCATTTAACACTACAATGACGGAAAGTAACATTCGAGGCGGGTTCCGAGGGGCAGGGCTTCTTCCATTTGACCCTGAGAGAGTGATATCTACACTTGATCTTAAGTTAAGGACACCAACGCCTCCAAGCTCCCGCCCAGGTACTGCTCAACCTTGGGTTTCTCAGACACCAAACAACCCAATTGAAGCTATGTCACAGTCTACATTTATTAAAACTCGGATTTCACGCCATCAAAATAGCTCTCCAACCTCAATCTATGCAGCTGTTGACCAGTTTACAAAGGGTGCATCGCAAATAATGCATCAATTAGCACTGCTAAAGGGAGAGAACCAAAACCTACGACAGGCAAATGAAGTACTAAGCAAGCGCCGGAGAGCTAGGAAAACACGACTACAGCAAGGAGGATCACTTAGTCAACAAGGGGCGCAAGAGCTACAGGATGAGAGGGATGTTGTGCAGCAGGTAGAGCAGGAAATAAGGGCAAGCCGTGGTCGGAAGCCAAGGGAAGAAACCCGTGCCCGTCGCTGTGGCAAGTGTGGTGAGACTGGGCACAATGCGCGCACGTGTCAGATTGTAATAGACACCTCCGAGGAAGAGGACTCCGAGTAGTTTCAATTGATTTCTAATGTTGTGGTAGATTTATCGCAATGTTTGTCGTGAGGGTAGATAATTTTGGCGCTTTCGCTTGTTTGGCGCTTTCGCTATACATGTACGTTATATGAGCGAATCAAATTACAGTATACTTGGGGATATAATAACAAAATAGATCTGACATTGTAACACAATAGTTTCGTCATAGTCAGAAGCGTGTATGAGCGTATGTTAGGGCTATAATACAGGGTTATAATATCATTACAATATAGAGTTTACAGTGGAAGCAGTTTCGGGAGGTTCTAGGAGAGAATCGGATCCATTTTCTCTATTTACTGTATTCTAATATACACTGTCGGAAGTAATTCCAGACGTAACCGTTTGATCCTCCACTAATGGCCATATACCAAACAACAATAGTACTCTGCTGCTGTTTGCTTTATCCTGACCCTGAAGGGGTTTGGCAAGCGCTCAAAGGGCTGTTAGAGGAAAGATGGGTATCAATATCCGTGGTATCCCCACTGACTTTTCCTTCGGTATGGACAACCGGAGGGTCCAACGGAAGAATCAGTTCTGGTAGAGCAAGCTCTTGTACATGTTCAGAGCTGGCTGCAGGGTCACCAATGGTTGCAGCAGCAACCTCCTCTACCAACGCTGTAATAGGAGTTGCTGTAGCAGCTTCGCCCCTTACAAACCGACGGAGTGCAGCACTCCGATCCTTGTCGGTAGCAGTGCAGTACACTGGGGCAGAAAACGGCCCGTCATCCTCTTCGTTGCGATTGAGTAGAGCATTGTACTTGATGTGGGGTGACACCTTCATGCCAGTCCTAGTTTGTCCAGAACGGTGGGCAATAACGAGTCGCAGGCCTCGTTCAGTGATGGCGGAGTCAAGAGACTCTTGAATCTCTTGACCCGTATATAGATGATCTGGATCCATGCTTAGGAGAACAAGGAAGTCAAGTTCGTCTTGATCATAAAGGGCTTTATCCTCTGGCGACAACTTTACCCAGGCCTTCCTGAAGTCCGAAATGTATTCGTCTGGTGTAATACCCTCCCCCTCGTCGCTGTTGTCAGAGACCGCATTACTGTGGTTGGAATCGTTATCAGTGTCGTATTTCGCAGGAGAATAGGTTGGATCAGCAGATTCAAGTTGATGAGATAGGTCGTCAACTTCATCATCGGTATTCTCAAGCTCTTGTAGGACACGCTTCCGCTTTCGCATGTTCCGACCCGCTGGCAAGGCTTCCTCTTCTGGTGAAACCAAATTAGGATCCTTAGGAATAGAAACCTCGCCCCAAGCGCGAAGCTTCAATGGTAGGATCTTTCGGCCACACAACGCCTTTCGGCCCTCTTTGGAATTGTGTGCAGCCAACACTTCATCCCGACTGCTAATCAATGTGTCTGCAATAGCCTGGAATGACATAGGTGATTGGAGCTTGGTCAATACATCTATAATGCTCTTGTCGATCTGTTTGGTTTCGCGCCAGGCATCATGAGAATTCACAACCGAGAGCCTCACAATTGTAACCTTTTCCTTTTGAGACACCTATATAACGATTAGACCTCTTCTCTGTACATGTTCCAGGTAAGAGGGGGGCACTTACTCTGATAGGTCGATAGTGTACCTGCAACTCTGATGGCAGGTTGATAGCTGTGGTAATCGAGCACACACGATGACATGCTCCATCCAGGTTAGCGCCTTGCGAGGAGACCTGGTACATCATAATCAAGACCGTAAGGTTGGAGTGGGGGTTGTTGAACTCCTGAATAAGCGCAATGCGCTGGGCATCGGTAAGGCCAGCATGCAGAACCTCTGCCCGAATGTATACTGACTTCAGAACTGTCTCGATAAACCATGCTGACACTGGGATGTCCTCGGAACACAACAGTTTGCTCCGTCCTCCGTCTGGTTTCTGTTTGAGACAATGATCTGCAGTACGAAAGAAGCGACTCGATGATACAGTGGCAACCATCAATATACTTCGTACACAGGGCTTTACAGGTTTACAACTGGCGCACGCTACTCTGCGAGCTGGCGATCGGTTAATCAAGGACGCTACTGACCTTCTTCGCCACCTTACCTTTGGTAGTCCGAAGCTGCGTTGGATTCCTTTGGTAGTCCGAAGCTGCGTTGGATTCCTTCAAAATCCAACGCAGCTTCGGACTACCAAAGGTAAGGTGGCGAAGAAGGTCAGTAGCGTCCTTGATTAACCGATCGCCAGCTCGCAGAGTAGCGTGCGCCAGTTGTAAACCTGTAAAGCCCTGTGTACGAAGTATATTGATGGTTGCCACTGTATCATCGAGTCGCTTCTTTCGTACCGTTGTATTCTCCAGGGTGTCGTGAAATCGACTTAGCATAGTCGAAACTGCATTAACTGTCATCTTCCTCAATGGGCCAGTCACACAAGGAAAGCTCTTGATCTCTGACGATGGATCAATACGGCTCTGTTTCTGTTCTGTCCACAGCGCAAGACCTTCTTCGTAATCCTTTACAAAGGACTGATGAAACATCTGGTACTCAGCAGCTTCAGCTGAGTTCATTCGGAGCTGGACAGTGGTAATTTCGTACGGCGGCATCAGATTCTTCAGCGACAAACGTCCTCCGTGGCAGTCCGTAGGGATTGATGTTGCAGTTGACCGACGAAGGAGAAGCAATTGCTCCAAGCATCTGTACAACTTGTTTATAGTTGTCTTGTCCTTACTGTTGATAAGTGTTCGGACACGATAAGGGTCTGTAGCGATGAGGTTCTTCCACGACGTGTGCAGTACATCTGGCAGAAGTAGGAGCTCGAAGTCCTTGTAATTGCCGTTGAGTGAATCTACCCATGTAGATCTCTCCTCTGTCGAAGAGAGGGACTTTGATATCTGAGGCCATAGAATGTTGAGAGGTCCAAGAATATCCTTTTATCAATTAGCCTAGCTCTGTACATGTACAGGAGTGGTCTGACTTACAGAGCTCTGATTCTGAATTGGTGTACCAGTAATAAACCAATGATGCCGCGCGTTCAACCTTGCAACTGCCACATGGATGTTAGTTAGAGGATTTCGCACTTTGTGGCCTTCATCCATAATAACGGTGTGAAAGACACCCTTCCATCTTCCAATCCATTCTGACGGCTTAAACTGGGTAGTATCGCCAGGCTGTCGACGCGGTTTCTGAAGTGTTCGAGCGGCAAGCGTGTCATAAGACGTAAGGATTACTGTCTTGGCAGCCATTCGGTTGTTTTGGTCAAATATAAAACGGAGACCGGCCGGAAACTTCTTCGGACTATGGGGGTGGCTTCGCATTGCCTTGGATGAAATCCACCGTAATGAGGAAGCTCCGTCTGGTGGCGAGTCCCCGTATGCAAGGATCAGGTTGATTCCCTTGAAGTTCTTTGTTATGTCGAGCCTCCATTGCTCTATCACCGGCCCAGCTGGCGCCAATATCAAGTGCGGTCTGTAATTACCTGGCGTCTCTGGTGTAAAGAACTGGATGACCCACTCGAGATACAAACATGAGGTGTAGGTTTTCCCCAAGCCCATATTATCGACAAGTACCCCGCCATATGTGCGAGCTGTTTGAAGTTCGTCGGCTTGAAGTTGCCCTTCCTTTGTTGGAGCGTGTGTATAACCGTAAGCTTTGAGGATCATCCACAAGAACCCGGTAACCTGGTGGCCAAGAGGCCGGATTTGTACTGTTGGGAGTGACCGTAGAACATATTTGGCAAGAGTGTGCTCCTTATCATGCCATGTGTCGAAATGAGCGTCTGCGATTATAAGGCAGGCATCGAGAGGAGGGCCTGTCTGGGACTCATCCCCCGTGAAGAGCTTTTGCATCTTATAAAAGTCTTCCATACTTGTTGCATCCTCGCTTGTTACTGGAAGCTATATCGCAATTAGCGTTAGTGGTGTCTCTGTACATGTACAGAGTTGGATGCTTACGTCTGCATTTAGAGTTGTAGAAGTGGCAGCAGCCATTCCACTCTGAATCTCTTGCTGAACAATTGAAGGCAGGCCAGCCAAGTTTAGGGCCTTCTTTGGCGCAACATTAGCAACACGTAGAGTACCGATAACCTTTCGGATAAATGCCTCAATGCCAGCTGGGGTTGATACGTCGACACCAAGGTGCCATGCTTGCGATTCTGCAGAGTTGCAATCACCAAACAATTTCGTAGGAGTTACCATGCCACGGATCCCGTGATGGTTTGATCCTGAAAGGACCCCTTCCAAGTATGATAGTGCAGGTTTATCGCGCATCATCTTCGCTGTGTGTGGACCTGTTGGGACCTCAGGGCCTTTCCCCTTTATGTCATGTTGAGTGGGAGGGAGTGGAGGCGAAGGGCCTACAACGGCTGTAAAATCTTCTCCGGTAGTAGTCTCTCCAGTAGATGCGTTATTGACTGTAGCTATTGTGCTCTCGTTGATGCTACAAACCTGGATAGGGCCCCCATCGAACTCATAAGGATACGGCCCATCCTCATCTGCATCAACAACTTTGAGGGAATAGTCGATGCGGAAACAGGTACCAGATTGAAGGATGTCGAGCACATCAGTCCATGGTATAACAACATCAGGATTGTCATTGTCGTAGATGATCCATGAGCCCTCCTCTGGAACATGTACAGGGCCGCAGTCTGTATCAGGAAGAGTAGTTGAGACCAAGGTAAGGGTGCTGAAGTCGCATCTGAGCCGCGGGAGCAGAAGCTCATGGCGTAGGTGATCACGCCACTGGGGTGCGATCTCGAAGTCTCGAATCTCATGCTTGTAGTCAACGCTGTCCTTCAACAATCGGATCTTCTTTCGCTTCAGGTATGAATTCATATGACGCAGAAGATCCTCATTATCGTCTGTTCCCTCCTCATGGACAAACTGGAGGGTAACCTGGAGTGGGATGTGCTTGTCTTGGTTCATAAGACCAATGATGGAAGTCGCTCCAGGAATCTCAACCACAGTATCACTGCCCATCCAAGATGGGAGCCTGTCTTGAAGTACACTTCCAGATTCTAAATAGGTGCCCTTTGTAAGTTTGCCTTTGATCGTAGCAAACTTCGACGTTGTAGTATGATAAAGTAGGTAGCGAATACACGTATAAGCTCTTGAATACCGCTCCATGGCATGCTCGCTATGTAAAACAAGCGGGCCAAGTGTAGGGGCAAGCACTGCCTTCATGTCGAACGCTGGGACAAAGAACCCCTTCACACCTGACTGATGAACGCGTAGATTGGTAAACTGCGCCTTTAGCTCAGGGTCGTCATGGGTCAATAGGTCCACATCTTCAAGGGCATTGGCAACGTGGTGTATAATCCCAGCAAATAGCAGTGTAAGTGCTCGGGTTGTGTTCTCCGTATCTGCGTTGTCCTCTTCGGTTCGAGCATCGAAAGCTGAAATAAGAGTGTCGATATTGGCCTCAAATTCATATGCATCAGCATCGTCGATTGAAGCCTCCAATATGGAAGTTGCATTGGTCTGTAGCTTGTTCTTCAGAGTGGTTTCGAATACCATTGCTCCCTTCATTACAGGCCATGACCATTTCAGGTGGCGTAAGTGGATGGTGTCGGTATAGCCAAGGTATCCAGCAACTGACGATTCGGCCAGCCTTGACATGTCGTTGAGTGGGTTCCCCGGTGCCCACTTTGTCACCTGATACTGCAAGGCTGCAGCGCGCTTCCTTGAAGTCTATTGCTGTATTAGTCCCGTGTACATGTTCAGAGAGGGGCACCTTACCTCATTCTTTGCAGAGCTGCTTCCGGATGGGTTTGGCTCCTTTTGAGCCTTTGGTTCGGATTTCTGAGGAATGCCATGCGTCTTTGCGCGTTTGGAAGGGGGTGTGGTCGACATAGTAATTGTTCTAGAGGTATTAGAACCATGCCTCTGTACATGTTCGGGATATTCTAGGGTTCTCACCTTCAATTCACCCGGGTGAATTTCAAAACAGCGCCAGTGAGGTTGTTGGTGTGGAAATGAGGTAAAACAAGTTGGTCGCACAGTGTGTTGGTGTTGGAGTGAGTGAATTTGAGTATTGGCAATGATGCTCTTCGATATTTGGCCAGGTTTGGCCAGTTGGCCTCACACCAGCTTGTAGATAGCTTCGTTTGGTCAGTAAGATGAATGTAAAAGGAAATAAACAAAGTAATAGATAGTTGCACTTACTCGAAGCTATTCCAAGGGCCAAAGAACAGCCAGACAGCACATGTTGTTGTTGTTGTTGTTGTTGTTGTTGGTGGTGGTGGTTGAAGGAAGAAGTTGAGAGTTGATATCCGGAGGTTGATTTGGCCAATAGACCCCACCAAAGTGATGGAACATGTATAGAGGGCGCTTGACAATCCGCTTACTACTGGAAGTGTACGTCCCAAGTACAACGAATATACTGATTTGGATAGAGTTCGCTATTTGGAGAGGGTACCATATATATCTCATCTGCCTTAAGTTGCGGCAGGGTGACAATTTGACGGGCTGAGGTTTGGGTAAATATAGGAAGGTTAAGCACTGTATCTGAGTTACTATTCTGAACCAACTTATTTATAAGAATGAAGACGTGGGGCAACTGATCAGGACTAGGGGCATAAGTAAACAAGCCAATTATCCTGCCAAACGTGCTGTCAATAGTTAGCACTATATCATTCTGCTGTAGTGTTCGCCGTCAGGAACTATCTATAATAGAATATGTCAATTTCTCATACCAGCGGAAACGGGTATTACCAAACAATACCGAGTGGTAGCCATATTTAGTAAGGGTTCCTTCGAACATATTTAAAAAGGGTATGGTAAACTGTCGAGCTTTGATAGGCAGTTCCTGTAGGACGCATGCTTTGCTTGATAACTCACCCTGTACTCGGGCATCAATATGCAAGTTGTTAGAATGTATATTCCGGTGAACCCCTGACTGTGATGTTAATACTCGCCTGTCAGCAACAGTTAGTAGGGTTTCGAATACAGCTGGGCAGCTGTCCCGAATCCTCATAATCTGAGCAGAGATCTCTATACATGTGTGGAGGAAGGCACCACACAGAGTATACCATAGCGTTGAGAATATACACTCCTGGATAAGTAAGTCACGCTCGGGTCGTCTATGATTTGTCCGAGTAACTGCCTCCTTGAAAAACTTGTGCTTATCCTCTCCCCAGAACACATTTGTATTCCAGACAACCCCGTACTCCTCCATCATTTGGTTAAAATGTAACGCAATATGGTAATTCGGAAGTCTGCCTGCATAACCAGGAATACAAGAACTATCTTGAGTATTGTTGCCTTGGTCGTCCGTACTTGTCTCAGTATCGGAACCACTTTGGACATAACTATTCGAGTATAGAGGGATAGACAGCGCAGGGCTTCTCCTACTACGAGAAGGTTGTCTAGTTTCTACACTCTCTGACGACTTCGCTGCAGCTTTCATAAGACATAAAAAACTAGCTCTCCCCTCCAATATGACATTGTGGAATTCTAGCCGCTCCTTACTCGTGAGGCTAGTTGAGGACACGAAGGAATTACTCCGTGCAATATGACCAAAGGCACGGACAATGAAATCTACATCAGTTCTGGTATGTATAGGCCGGTGTGTCACTGGACATTCGCGGGCAAGGGCTAGCTGGAACGTATGCCGTATATGGATAGTCTTTAGCCAACCGCGAAGTATTAATGGCACGATAATTGACGCCTTCCCACACTCGCTCATTGACCAGGACCGTATGTGCTTCTCTGGCGATTGGATTCGACTCCAGCCAGGCGGGAACGTATATGTCTGGAACTGTTTAGTAAACTCAACCTGGGCAACTGGAGTTAGCAATGGCCCATATAATATTGGATATAGTCTCCGAACGATACCAAGGAACTCACTGTGTGCTGGATCGGGGGGGCGGCTTATAATAATGTCAAGTGCTGGTATTACAGACTGTAAGGCAGATGGCTGGTCAGCTAACCCATGTCGGCGACCAAATTGTAACCGAGTTGACTTTGAGGTAAGTTTATCCATCTGCATGCGTAGGTCCTGTACTTGGTAGTGGAACCGACCATGGCGTGCAATATCTCTTCTGAGATCAGCCCTTGTATCAAGGCTTGCATCACAGAACCGACAGCAGAGGTTAGCCCTTGGGGAAAGAAAACCAGCTGACTGTTGTTGCCCTTTCATATCACCTAGAATAGTAATGAACGGGGCCCATACTACTGTCTTTACTCCTCTAATAACCATTGGGCTTCCACGCTCAAGGGCCCCTATACATGTTCAGAGGACCGATACTGTAGCATCAAGCTGAGAACCATGGGGCCCAAGGGTTAGAGTATGACTATTCATGCTCCTTTGTCGCTGCTCAATACCAAGCCCAGCTGGCATCATATATACTCCAGTAACTGAGCGGTACATGTTGCGGTATAGTCCAAAATCGTCAATAAACATAATGAGGGGCAGTGACAGTACTCCTGACATAACTGTAGCCATAAGGTACTCTCGGCCGTATTGCTTAATCTCTAGCCCCCCACGTATTGGTGTACTCTTCTGGATATCAACGATGCCATGGGCCTTGGTAAAGATCTTAGTAACTGCCCAGGGTGTCCGTATAGTACCATCACCCCACTGGATGCTAATATCGGGTCGACGGTGTAATACCTGGTTTGGCTGGACCCAGACTAAACCCTCGTTGTCAATAATGCGCTCACTTGTTGACAGCTTTCTAATTTCCTCCTGTAGTCCACGGGACTGGTATAGTATGTCGTTCCGATGCAATAAAGGCCTGATATGAAGGAGTACTGTATTGATAGTAGTAGACAGTTCCCGTCTATCACGCCCAACAAACACTACCTGCCCTGTATGCTTGGAGGTGGAGCTACAACAGGTCTGACTTTTGCACTTATACTGGACAAAGTCTGAGGGAAATATTGGCTCTCCACCTTTATATAGGGCAAAGTCGCTGCCACAGGTCCGAATTGAAGAGCCCCATGCACGGGAATGGTAAAACTCGGATGGATTGTCTACAATCTCGGCCATTCCTTGGTGTATTGGCTGACCGAGTGTTGATGATAGTATAGTGGCAGCGATAACCCGCGGGTCAAAGAAGTATATATAGCTTTGGGACGTTGCTGCATTGCCTGATGGCTGTTTATCCATCCGGACATCAACAACTGATCTTTGGAGCGGTAGTAAAGGAAGGCGACGACGGCACCACTTTTGGAGTGTTGCAAGGTTTTCTGGGAGCTGTCAAAACTCCTCATTTGGAAGAAGTCGTAAAACTTGGAGTAAAGCCTTATAAGTCTGCCGGGTAACCCGGTGTGTATCGCACCAGAGTCCGAATGCCATTGTAAAGTCAGATACTGGCGCTGAGCGAGGGTTCAGTGCAGATAGATCAATGACCTCATTGCTTGTAAAATGAATCTTGGGAGTGTTTTCACTCTCTACAGAGTTACTATCCGAGCTGTTGTCCCCCATAGCCATGCTATTATAATCGTCACAATAAAGAGCGTCCTTTGAACATGTATAGGAAGAGCCTGGCTCCATAATTGGCATATTAGATCCTGTGTTGGCCGGTTGATCGTTGGAGATAAAGGCAGGACTACTATTGCTGTCACTATCATACATTGTGTAGTAGTCTTCTGGCTGGTTTAATGTTAGCGAGGGAGGTATTATACAGGTTTGGATGCTACTTGTTTCATTATTAGGAATAGGAAGCTGCAGGTGTCGTCTCCGTACAGCCTCTGCCTGGCCTATTTGTGTAGTCCGATGTGCAACATGTCTTCGAAGGTTTGCACTATAAGTTGGCCACTTGCGCCTTCGCCGACGATTTGGATTGCCAAAATCCTCAGCTGTATATGTTGTATCTGGGCTTAAGTCCATTATGATTCACTATATGTTGCTTGAAGACCTCCTGTTGAATACGGGGGTTATATTATAGTAAGAGCCGCATACAGAGTTGGATAATACTACTGTGTTAGTCATCTTGGGTCACGTGCTCACATATATTTGCTCCACACACGCGTAATAGAGTGTTTGGAAATATACACGTACAACCACAATACTGTGTTCTCAAACTACTATATATTATGGTATAATTACAGAGTGTATAAGAATATACAATCAGTGTTTGTGCCCCCCTCTTGTCATACTGACATTCGTTGCACTCAGTTTGCTATCAAACTCAAGAGCAAACTTAGAAATCTCCTCCTCAAACCTACAAGTCACCATACATATCTTGGCTTATCACACCAACAACAGAAGCAATACTACTCAACGATTGCTGCAAACTCTTCTACTACATCTGTTTATGCTACATACATCACGGCATATCATTTGGACACTCATTGAACAAGTTATTAAGAAAATCTCCTCCTTAAGGGGGTGGGCCAATACTACCACATGGCATATCTCTACCAACTAGAGGCCTAGGAACATGAACGATAGCTCTAGAAGCTTCTACAACCCTCTATAATTCATTACACGTCATCGCTCCTTAGTTACCCACAAGATTGGTTAAGTTATGACATAATTTGTCTATAGGTACTCTGACCTTGGACCTCCTTTTCACTTCCTATAGGCTAGGAACCCAAGAGATGGTTCTATGGGATTCTCTTACGTTCACTACATGATTAGCAAGCTAGTTGTGGGTCGCACTTGATTTCTAATACATTTACCAAGCCTGGTTAGTCATGGAAAGTCATGGAAAATGAGAGAACTACACTCCTTTGGCATAAATAGGATTGCCCTTTCCTTAAGAAAGGGCAAGCAGGCAATACAGTAAATCGACTAGCACATACTTCTACGTCTTTTCCAAGCTTCCAAGCATTGATCTTGTTATTCTCTGTTTTTGAAAAGTCAGTGAGGTGCTAACCTCTGACTTACCCCTGAGTTCTCAGACTCAACATTTGTTGCAACTTGTCTAAACCACTTCACCACATCATACACCTGATTGCTGCGTTGTGGAATAGTCTAAGCTACAACCCTTTGGCTCTGTTTCCTAAGACAGTGTGTTGTCTTAGTAAATTCATCCCTTCCTTGGGTGGCTAGATTCTCATATCTGGTGCACCCACCATTACACCTCTGAACATGTACAGAAGATAGGCTAATTCTTGGGTTGTAGGTTCCTTACTATGCCAAAGACATCACGTCGACCAAGACGCATTGCTAAGGGTGCAGTGCAAGCCCACAGCCAAGAGGATTACAACTACGGAAACTCCCAGCTACAGAATGCTCGGAATTCTGGGTCTCAATACCCATATGGATTAGGCCACCTCCTTCCACGCGACTCAAATAGTCCAGGGTTGTCCCAAAGCCAGCATTCTCCAGACTCGGTTGTTCAAGGAGCCCCGTTGACATCAATGAATTCACCTACCTTGCAGTTACTACAACACGATACACCCAATACAACTAGCCCCTCAATGTCTCAAACTGAGCGTGTCCAGGGGGGGTTAATGAATGCGGCCTCCTCTCAACTCCCTACCCAGCCAGATACTACGCTATCCTTTGAGAATGGTCATTTGGACCTGACTCAACAGCTTCGGTCGAACAACAACTGTCGAAACACTGTTGCATCTACGCTTCAACAGAGTAGTAGAAGTAGTAATTCTACTGGATCTACCAACTCATTACTAGCCTGTCGACCTACTGCAAAGCATACTAAGCAATACACCCACAGTTCCCATAATAGCACTATGGGACCGTTTCAACGGTCAGCTAGCCAGACGAAGCTCTTTGACAACAATGCGTGGAAACAAATCAGGAAGAAGTTGGATCCTGAAATACGACGACTTACCCTCCGATATGGGCGAGCAACAGACAAGGAGCTTGAGGCTATAGTAAATGACGTTACACTATCTGTTGACTTCGATGAGAACTTTGCGCTTCAAGACAAGGCTCTCTATAAAGCAAGAGGCAATACAAATACCTGGAAGCACCGGACTATTACCTGCATGATGGTATGACCCTCCAACCCAAAATATAGTAGCTTGTCTGAACATGTACAGGAATGGGTTGGTAAAACCCTTACAAAACCATCCATGTCGTTTCTGCTGAATGAACAAGACCTATCTCGACTCTTTGAAGTGTTCGAGTCTATTTACAGCGTTGTTGATGCAGAGAGTGTCTTTTGCTGGGCAAGTCGATATATACTGTTCTACGAGAAGATTGAGTCAAGTGAACTGCGTCCTAACGGAACAGCGTCAATTGCTCCAGGCCCGTTCTGGATTAAATGTACGTTGTTTATAAGTGGTTACTGTTTTGTGCTAACTATATTAGACTGGTTTGTGTCACTAGCTGTAAAGGTAAAGCTCCACCTTGACTTCGAACAGAACCATGGTGTTCGGAATGGGGTACCCAGACAGGTGCTCCTCAACTGGTTTGATGCCTACCCAAGAAACCAGCATACTAATATCGGCCCAAAACGATTGAAGTTCAAGGATATGTATGGACGACGGAGGAAAATGCCCCTTATAGACGACCAGATTGCACAGCAATCTATTGGAACACTAAAGGATGACATTGACTGGGGTTCGGCAGACGAGGATGGAAGTAGTAACGACAGGCCTGAGCAATTTATGGATGATGAGAATGACGATGACGATGACGATGACCACTACGACGACGATACCAACGGTGCTTATAGCAGTAGACGTAGTTTACAAGACGTATTCGAGGAGGGGTTATAATAATATAGTATTTGCTTCATTAGTATAATATAAACACTGTCTCCTTAATTATACCCTCGTAATAATAGAGTTGACCATATATCACGTGTATTTTGCCAATGTGTCACGTGTTTATTTTTGGGATTATTTAACTCTGACAATTGTCTCTTATACAGGTGTCTATTTATTAACGCTGTTAGTGTAACCCTGGTTTCAATACTATTCCTAGCATAGTGTCTACTACTACCTTATTGTGTAAGCGTGTTCCTTTATATATTATGATTGGCTGTTGGAATAGTGCCAAGTGGGAATAGTGGCACAATAGGCTTGGCAATAGAATATGTAGCTAGGTACAGCTTACGCAGCCAATAGATTGGCTGCGTAGCATGGTGTATATTGGTATTAGACCATTTTTTACGATAAATCCTGTCCAATGGAATCGAAAAATGGGCCAACCCCCCTAAGGTACGTTATGTATGTTTCGAACAATTACATCCTCTAGTTTAGTCAATTTAGACGCTCCTAGTCGACGTTCGCTAATAGGGGCTCGGCCGTTTATTCTGTTACGTAACGTAGACTCGGGGACTTGATAGATTTTTGCAGCAGCTCGACAGCTTAAATTTTTGGATGTTCGGATAGCTTTGATAACTATAATAATTCGTGCTTCGTTGGTTTGGATTTGCATGACTGGTTGTAGAGAAAACACGTATTAGAGTTAGAAGTAGGTAGGTAGGGGGAAAGTGCGCGAGGTACTGATATGCGCGAGGTACTGATATGCGCGAGGTACTGATATGCGCCAGGTACTGATAAACCACGTTATATAAGCCGTATTAATTAATATAAGCAACTGCCTAAGGTATATAGCAGTGGCCTTTTGCTGTGAAAATAGCTACTAAGAATAGAAGTTCGCAAACTCTATAGCAGGATGTGACAACAGCAGCGAAAATGTCCACAGCAACAAGCCCCTATGCATCTAGTAAAAAGCACCAGCTAAATTGACCACATTAATAAGCCCCTATGCATCTACAAGAACGCGTACCTATCGACCGGGAAACCATGCTCTACGTAATCGAGAAGCCTATTGCGTATAATATCCCTGCACTGGCATTGACCACGAGTAGACCATTCATCATAAGCTTCGCAGATTATTTCTTCGGCTTCGGTCAGCGAAGGCTTGGCGTTTTCGTTGCCCTTGCTTTTGCGCCAGCTTGCGAGCTCCTTATCAACCATCTCCATCATGGTACCCGGGTCTGTATTCGGGAACATAAATTCATCTATCTGAAAACCCGACGTCCCATGTCTGGGATCAGGCTTTAGTTTCTTTGCTGTATTAAGGCACTCGTCTTCTGTATCAGAGAGCTCCTGATTCAACTTCCTCAGGTATCTTTTTCTGCTTTTCGCTCCGTGCGTGCTGCGTTCACAGTTCTCTTCAACATATCGATCCATTAGCTGGACAGCATGGTCAACTGTACAGATCGCGTTGGGCTCGAGATTGTTGGCCAAGGATATCCCGGCTAGCTGGCTGAGCCAGCGTGCGCTCACCAGTTGCCCATTTGGACCGTTGTCCTCGAGTTTATGGGCAAGACGCCGGAGAGCGCATCCGGCAGTTTCGTAGTCAACGGGGAGCCTGCACTTTGCACCTACGTATGTAGGGAGTGGAGTTTCTGGGGACTTGATAATCTCGCATTCCACAAGTCTATTGATACTGTGCCGCAAAATCTCATATCGGGCGGCGGAAGAAGGTTGGGGTATATTAATGTGGCGACTACAACGATCAACAAACGCGGCATCAAGTGAGCCGGAAAGATTTGAGGTGCATATAATGAACACATTAGCGTCGTCCTTAACCATGTCGAATCCGGTGAGAAGGGCATTTGTAGCGCGCACGGCATCGTGCACCTCGCTCCTTGCACTGGCCGTCTCGCGAGAGGCTGCAAGACTTTCAATCTCGTCAATCAGCAATACCATCAAAGTATTTGGTAGTTCTGCCGACTGAGCCGCAAGCTCTTCGAAGATTGAGTGGATTTTCACCGCACTCTGCCCGAAATAGTGCGATAGTAGCGTTGCAGCATTCAGCTGCAAAAGGATCGTCTCTCCGAACTTTTTGTTCATGCGTATCGAGAGTTTTTGAGCAAGGGAAGTAGATAATGACGTTTTTCCTTATTTAAATCAGCGCCTAACGACGGATAAGTGGATGGGCTTCGAAGTACCTGTTCCAGGCGGGCCCGACAACAGAATGAGGCGGTTGACAACTGACATCGGGTTACGCCCCGGCCTGTATGAGAATCTCACTAGTCCCATGGTTAGATTCTATAGAATATAAGCATGTATATACTCACGGATATTTGTCATAGAAACGACAAGGTTTTGCTTTATTTCCTCATCGAATATAAGCCTAAAAAAAGTTAGAAGGGTAGAGGCAAATATGAGCTTCCCACTGGCCTTTCCCAAGCACCGTCAAGTCTAACGCTTGGAAGGAGCATAGCTTCGCCGCATAGAGACAGGGCTTCGTGGGTCTCTGCTGCCTTACGATCTTCCAATTTATACGAATTGATCACGATCGTATATCTTTTGGTCAAGATAACTTCGTCGCCATCTTTGGCGCCCACTATGTCGACTGCCTTGAGAGACTGCAGGCAGTCTGGAAAGAAGCATTCTGCGTCTAGAAAAGAGCCACATAAGAGTAGTTCCTTTCAAAAAACAGATATATGCTTACATGAAGCGGCACCAATGATCTCGTGATCAATCTGTATAGTCTGAACGTATTCCGAGATGAAGATTGCTTCAAGCATGGCTGTGAGCTTCACCCATGTTAGTTGGGTACAAACGATGGGCTTGGGACTGCAGTTGGAATGGAACGATTGCATACCTTTGCCACGTTCCCAGTATAGTCTGGCTTCACTTGAGCCTCGATGTAGATGGTTCCCATGGGAGAGATGGTCTCACCCTTGGTGGGCTGAGGAGGTGGGTGGTCATCAGGACCGTTGATAATCTCAAAGTCACTCACATCCACGGCAGCTGGCTTCGCCACAGGCTCCATTGTGGAAAGAGGCCAAATGAGGGAGGAACCAGTTCAACAGGAAAGGGTGGGGAAAGAAGAGGTAGCTGGGGGGAGCTACTGGATTCTAGAAGGAGAAATGAGAGAGACGAATCAGAATCAGAGAGAGAGAAGAGACAGAGAGAGACCGTAATGTATTGAAGCCACCACAATTATGAGGGAGAAGGAAATCCGATGATGGGATATAAGAGACTGATACTTTTCTGGGGTGGTGTTGAAATTGGGTGTTGAAATGAAGGAAGAAGATTTGTGAGATGGAGAGAAATGGACTGAAAGTTACCAACAGTGAACTTGAACGTCACAAACTCTGTGATTGACAAACAATATCTGAAAAGGTATTCTGATAATAAAACAGAAGAGACTAGTACTGTTCTGCAGTGGAGTGGTACTGGAATGGATGAAAGAACGAAGAAGGAAGCTTGTGAGAGACAAGTTATCCTTAACCTTGACAGTGGGGGTGGTCCCTTGCAGCCTTACCCGGCAAGGCTCCAGAACCCCAGCCGTCAGATCTATGGGTGAATAAAGCTCGGGCCTCAATTAAAGTCTGGAGGCGGGAGCTTCAATAAATCATCGACATTTTGCTCTTCAGCGGATTATTGGCAGTACTCGCATTTTCACTTCCATTTAACGTCTCAATACTCCACAAGACGAATCCTACCATCAGCGTTTATCTTTACAATCTCATCCGATAGGAACCATCCCTAAATCGTCACCACCCGCACGAATTGCCCTGCACAATTCTTGCGACTCCACCTTCAACCACATCCCATAAAAAATGTGCCAGACATAAAATCACACTCAATGGATCCTCCGCCACGGCCGTCGATGGATCGCTTCCGGATCCGCGTTGCAGTCTTTTCTCCGGAAGAGGCTCATAATCTGGAGGCAGTCCCGAAACATACTTTCGTCATTGCGAGGAGCCAGGAATTCCCTCTCCAAGATCTCCCCCTCCGGGAACTGCGTGACGTTGCGATAAGAAGATACAAGGACATATACCCCCAGGAGTCGTGAGTCCCCCCGTTGAAGTTTTATCCTGCGGTGCCACTGACTTTATTTCCTGCCAGGCTGTTCCAAATCGCCCAGTCTACAGATGCCTATGGCGCCGACCTATACCTCAACGATCGCGTGGGCGACATATTCGCGGATAATGAAGTCTTGAGAGTGATCAAGGGCTCATCTATCAGAGACTCCCTGCCCCCAGACTACGTGAATGGGAGAGCCGGCACTGTCCAGCCCAGCTATCCACTACAGCGAAAGCGATCCCCCGCCACCTCGAATCTCGGAGACAATTCGAGGGCTGGCAAGAGGCAGAAGGTTTACAGGCCAGACGATCCACTCCCGTCACGCGAGCGCGACCCATCCGACTCCGAGGCAGAGATTGTACCGCCAGAAGATATACCCATTGACGAGGTCATCCCCGACTCTCAGGTAAACGAGATCGAAGATGGCGGTAGGCATATCAAGCAGGAGAAGCCCTCCCAAACAAGCCGACCAAGTTATAACCAACCATCTCCAGTCCTAGGCGGAGACGATGAGGAAGTCGTTATTTCAGACTCTCAGGGGAAAGAAACTTCGGGGCGAAATACCACCCGCCAGACCCGTCAATCACTTCGAAATACCACCGAAGCCCGGGAAGATCTTCAAATAGCTGCTAAAACTACCCCAAAACCGAACAATGGCGCAGCTCACCGTCCGTCGAATAAAGGGCGCGAGCGGTCTGATGACATCTCGGATTTCGAAGAGCATACGTCTATCACACCGGCCATCACGCCGTCCCGAGGAATCTCAGATACTTATAGTGGTTTCGAGACCGACATCGAACAGCCTTCCAGTTTCCTCAGGCAACGTGGTGGTGTTACTCCCCTGGGCAAAAGCAAGAAGGCCTCACCGATCTCTACAAAGCCGAAACTAGTACAATATAGAGGGGCAGCAACCAGGAGCAAAGCTAGAAGCAGTTCAAACAACTCAACACCTAAAGCAATTGCAACATCCGCTCCTCCAATCACTCCTCGTTCGGCAAGTATGGCTAATGGTGGCCCTATACTGCCAGGTATGACTCCTCAGGACGACAGTGCTTCAGCCGACAACGGCGATGACAAGAGTGACGGGGGTGTGGACGCAAAAGCCGAAGAGACTGCACAAGAGGTTTCAAGGCTCACATCTGAATCGGCGGGAAAGAAACGCGCCGCGGAACTAGAACAAGAGAGTCATCGCACAGTTCAATCCGAAAAGAGACCAGAAGCAGCAATGGATCAGGCTCGGATTGAAAGAGAGGCAGCCAAGAAGAAGAGTGCTGCGATAGCCATTGCCACGGCAAAGATTAAGACAGCTGCTAAGAGAAGGAAAGCTGATGCTGCGCGAAAGCGATTAGCTGAGGAAGAGAGACTCAAGGAAAATGCCGAGAAAGAGGCTGAGAGGGAGGCCGAGAGGGAGGCCAGAGCAGCTGAAGCGAAGCTGAAAAGAGATCATTTGCTTACGGAGGAAGCCCGGAGACAAACGGAAGCAACTGAAAAGGCCGAGGCCGAGGAACGCGAACAAGCCAAGAGACGAGAGGCAGAAGTGACAGTAAAGGCAGAAGCTGTTAAACGCGAAGAAGCCGCCAATAGCGAGAAAGAGGCCAGGGATATCAAAGATACAGAAGTAGCTAGCACCCGCAAGAGGTCTACGTCTGCCATAAGCCCAGGAGGGATGCTTGGTAGGGCTGTAGCGAACTTCAATTCCAAGACAGCGAGCACTAGCCCTGGTGCAAATGTGGTCGATAAGCCGCCACCTCCAGCAGCTGCCCGCGGCCGTCAATCAACTTCGCCAGCACTCACTCGAAAGAGATCTGAAGATATCAAACCTGCACCAATCCTACCCCGTCACGGATCTAGTGACATCCGACCGGCCCCGTCTGTGGAGCCGGGTTCGGCTGCTCGACGTGTTTCCTGCGCAGAGCCATCGCCGTCCGTGGCTGGGAAGACGTCGAGCAGGGCCACACAGTCCCCGGCTCCAATTCAAACCCCTAAGTCTGTGAATGGGATCCAGAGCTCGGGCGGGAGCTTCCGTCAAACGAAACTTGTACCAACAGGAACTGGAGCCAAGTCAGTTACGCCCAAGGTGCCCACACCTTCGAGTTCGCAAGCGCCAACGTCCGGGCAACAAGTTAAATCAACGCCAACTCCAACGCCGAAAACCCGAGCAGACATCACTGCTGCGCTGCTCAATACTATCAATAAAGGGAGCTGTAAGTTGCAATCCGGATCAAATTAGTAATATTACTCAAACTAACGGTCTATAGCATCAGCAGTGAAGGAGGTAGCGGCCTCAAAACCAAATGCCATCGCCATCTCCTCTGATGAGGAAAGCAGCGATGACGAAAGCGTAGGCGAACTAGAGTTACCACCATTGCCTCCGCCTTCATCTCATTCAGTTGCACCGAGCCAGCTCGTAGCAAGCGGTGACAATGCTAATGACACGGCTTCCAATACTTCCCGTTCCGCATCCGTGTCGACAAACAGGTCGCAACGTGAGAGCCGCTCACCCGTACGATTTGTCAACTCTAGCTTCCATTCCAACGCAGCCTTCTCCTCTACTCAGTCATTCGATGGGTCCCGCCGCGGACAACAAGGCCACTCAAATGGGAGCGAGACATCCGATAAAAGCACTTCTGGAGACTCAGCTTCAGAAGACGAAGCGTCTGGGTCGGAACTCTCATCAACGAAATCCAAGCCTATCATCCCTCAAAGCGCCGCATCTAAGCGCATTCTCCCACCGTCATCGAGGCTTTCACGCCTCCGCGATGGTTCCGCAACCCCTACACCTCAAAACGTTGGCGCTAGAAAGTTCAGCACTGGAAGCGACGCAGAAACATCAGTCCAAAAGCTGCTGGACAGTCAGTTGACAGAAGAGTCGGCAGCAAGCTCTGCACCAGCCAGGGCCCAAGCGTCCCCAGAACTCAGCGGCAGGAATTCCTCTACGCCAGTGCCAAGGCCAAAACTCACCAACGGCAACGCCTCAGATAGGGGAACACCACGCACGTCCAAGAGACCGGCGGGAATGGCCAGCATGCCGTCCTTGAAACTACGAGCAGAAGCCGCCTTGGAGGAAAGTCAAAAGCGTGCTGAGAAAGCCCGCCAGCAGGGCGAGGCCAAAGCAAAGGCCCTCAAAGACGCCGAGGTACCGGAGTTCGCCGGCGCAGAAAGCACGGAAGAGTCGGAGGCCGAGTCGTCCTCCAACGACAATTCCGACTCGGATGACGGAGACGAGAGTAACTTGGAGGCCGGGTCGCCTGATGACGTCGAGATGGGCGGGATGGGGACACCGAAGGCCCAGAAGCCAAAGGCCAAGGTGAACTTCTTGGGATTGAGCAAGAAGTTTAGCAAGGGGTTAGCAGGGCGCCGCTAGGTTCACGGAGTGCCTGTGGCGGGTGCATTTTGTATTTATGATTGGTACTGTTTAATGTTTAGACAGTTCTCCCAAAGGGTCAAAGCCGATTTTCTGTATGCGAGGGTCGGGTTGACGGAATCTGAACCAAGGGTTGGCGAGAAGGGTCCGTCTGTGCTGCCGGAGAGGGGAGTGAGACATGTATTACATATCATAGTGTATTGGAACCAAAGCGGGCCCGGGCTATCGAATACCAAGCAGGATGTCATTGATGATGAGCGACCGGTATGATGGATGTGCCGTCATATGGCTGCGCTATGGAATGCAGGATGAGATGAGTGGACCAACGGCACACGGAGTAGACAGAAAGGAGATGCAAAGAACTCCAAAGAAATGCAACGCAAATCCCCGCCAGGGACACCTTTTCCTTCGTCGAGCCCTGCATGCGCGAGGATATCGTGCATCTCACATCCAAATCCATCACATCTCACTAGTTGGGGAATAAATTCCACCCACGGCCCTGTTCAAATAATAGACCGTGCTTTCAGGGTGTAAAGAATTTCCATTAATGCTAACCACCAAAACCTAATATAATACAGTGCTCTTACTAATCGTCGTGACCAAACTTTTCGCTTCGCTCAAGGTTGGAGTAAGCAATACGCGGCTGCCCAACCCGAGAGGAAGCAATATGCGGCTCGTCGGAACGTGCGTCTGTTCACCGCCACTCCTCAACAAAACCTCCACCATAGTTGTCCATAGTATTTAGATAGTAATTATATGCCATTTATTGGAAGGGACTCCTCTATCAAATGCTCGTGAGTGGCTCCTAGAGAACCCCCCTGAAATCTGAAACAGCAACTACTGCCAGTTGGATTTTCAAAGTGCCTAAATCAACGATACAGTCAAGCATCAGCCGACTAGCCCAGCAGCTCCCACACCGAGGGGGCCAGAATAAGCTACTCTCTACTGCGCAGACAGAGGCCATAAAGAAATGGATCCTTGAGCAGTATTACCTAGGGCTTGGAGCAACTAGGAATATGATATTTGCTGCTGTCTGTAAGCTGCGGAGCCCACAGCTGCCCCCGTCACAAAGCTGGCTTACAAAATTTATACGGAATGAGCTTAAGGAATATCACTTTATTACTACGAAGCCAATTGCGCAGCAGCGTACGAAGGCTCAAGATGAGCCTACAGTTCTAAAGTGGTTTCAAGAGTACGGCTGGTTTATACTAGAGCGTGGTATAAAACCAGAGTCAATCTGGAATATGGATGAAACTGGCTTTCGGGTTGGGATTCCAGGTGGAGAGCGTGTGATTGTGCCACGAGCCGCAAAGGAGCTCTACACCCCAAGCCCTGGAAATCGTACGTCTATTACTATACTTGAGGCTGTGTCTGCAACTGGAAAAGTCATACCGCCTGTACTTATCATTCTGGGCAAAATACACATGGATTCTTGGTACCACGCCAACCTTCAAGGCACAGAGCTCATCATGCTCTCTGACACTGGATTTTCTTTCTTTATGAGGGATCTTACCAAAATGCGGCTACAGACTTTTAAGGAGTCTATAATTATATCAGCTTTCCAGAAAGCAGGAATTTGGCCAGTAAGCCACATTATAGCTCTTGCAAAGCTACGTACGTACTCACAGCCGCTCCTATGCCTACACCTACGCCTCTACCTATACGGGTTTCTACACCAAAACCCTCGACTTTTAGGGGGGTTGAAGAGGGGCTACAGTACTGGAAACAACGGGTTCCAGAGGGTTTTAGTAGCCCCTCGAGGGAGAGCTACAAGAATTGGCTCACAGGAACGGAAGAGGTTGTAGTAGGAGGCCAGCTTCAAGAGCTTGACCTACTGGCTTTTCGACGCCAGGTTGAGGAGTCGAAGAAGTGATAATTTCATAGAATGGCTTAATTATGTACCTTTATATACAAATTACTATGGAGAGGTACTTACGGTCGCAATTGTGAGGAGCCGCGTATTGCTTCTTCTCGAGTTGGGCAGCCGCGTATTGTTTTGGGCCTACGGCATCGGCGGCGCACCCTTTTTGCCCAACCCTCGCTCAACCCTCGCTCAACCTCGCTCAACCCTCGCTCAACCCTCTCGTCCCCGGCGACCTACCCCATCTCCCCGCGCCCGGCCACCCAAGGGCGCGTTAGTGCTGAGACGGCACTCTGGTTGCTGGCGTCGCGGGGCGCTGGTTACTGGTCAGACGCTGCTTTGGGACTACCGACCCGCTGAACTGGGCAGTGAGGCGGGGGTGTGGTTGGTGGCTGGACGATTGGGGTGGGCGGGATGGTGGAATGGGGTTATTTGATGGTATTTGATGGTATTTGATGGTATTTGATGGTATTTGATGGTATTTGATGGTATTTGATGCTATTTGATGGTATTTGATGCTATTTGATGGTATTTGATGGTATTTGAATTGTAGAATGAGACCTGCATATATATGTCTTGTCTGTGCGTACAGAGGGAGGTACACCCGTTGTTGGGCCTGTTTATATACGGGTGCTCGACGGACGGTACTCTTGGGGTCGTTTTGGGTATTCTGACCGTCTTCTTCCAGGTGTGACGTTTCGTTCATTTCGAGTTCTCGTACCCGTGTATGTAGCACAATACAGTATAATAGTACTCGAGTACTCAGTTATATTTGATTTTACCTGCTCACAAGTAGAGTGTTGTACCTCTCCCGCTAAGTTATAGTGGGCTGTACATTGCAACCACTTACTCGCTACGATCTACGATCTACGATCTACTCCGTACTCTACACTCTGATCATCAGCTTACCTTTTGCCTCTTTTCGCCTTCTTGTCTTCGCCTTCTTGTCTTCGCCTTCTTGTCTTCGCCTTCTTGTCTTCGCCTTCTTGTCTTCGCCTTCTTGTCTTTCCTCCCCAAACTGACTGATCCATCTTGTGTATATTATATATGCGCCACAAATTCTGTTCTGTTCACCACCATTGTTTCTGTTTCCACTGTTTCCACTGTTTCCACTGTTTCCACTGTCCACTGTTTCCACTTCCTTCAAAACTTCCTTCAAACTTCCTTGCATCTGCTGCTACACGTCGTATACTATACCTATAGTATCTGCACTCCCTTACACCTTGTCGCAGTGTGTGCCACTCACTATCCGATCCGAGTGCTACCTTACCTATACGCAGGTCCGCCCGGTAGAGACAAAAAGACGAGGCGCCAGTTTAAGAGTGCTCTGAAAGTGGAGGTATGAGATGAGATGATGCTTGATATCAGCCGATAACGTGAACCTTCTCCTGACTTTGGTTATTGACAGGTCCCCCATCCCAAATAATTCTGGGTCAACAAAAGAGCCTCATCGATCAGAAATCGCAACTGTACGCCAGGAAGCAAGGACGACTTGAAAAAGCTTCAAAATCTCCCATTATCGTCGCTCCTTCCCTCCTGTCAACGAGTCATCCAATGCCCTGTGCGCGAAATCTTGCTGATTCAAAAGCACACACCATCCGTCGCATCCACACCACACGGACCTTTCCAACGAACGAAGCTCCCCCCGCATTAGCTCTGGCCGCTGAGTAAACACCACCACTCCTTTTAACGACCCCTCTGCACAGCAGATCTATATAACGCGGGCGACTGCTCACGTTTTGTCTCGGACCCCGAACACAGAAGAAGAACTTTCTCTCTCTCTGCGCCTCGTGCTGATCCGTATCGACCTGCAGAGAACGGAGTCGGGTCGAACGGCAGTACAGGGTACGTCCAGCATTATTGTTGGGCTCCGTTGTGCAGATCACGCAAACCCACTGCTCCCACCAGACAGACGACGTAGATGCAAAGAGGATCAACTAGTACAACGCGCCGTGCACGATAAGCTTTATATAAACACAGGGCGGGGGATAGCGCCTTCCCTTACAGACCCCGACACCCACGAGATTTCCTCGAGTTCTTCTCGGCCGTTGCTCGTGTCGCAACTCCCCCCTATATCCCACGAACCCGACCACCACCATGAAAGTATCGCACTACCCGCATGACGACCCTACCGGACACGGCGCACAATATAACATGTCTCCTCCCCTCGGAAACCCCAACTACCGCCCTGATGCACCGCAATATCAGGCGCACCAGGACCAGCCCCACATACAGCACGCCCCCAACGACCAGCAGCAGTACGGCTACGGCTCGAATCCACAGGGCCATCGCGCCAGCCAGAGCTCGGAAGGGCAGGGAGGCCAAGGAGAGATGTTAGGCCGGGTCCCGACGCGGGGCCCCAATCCGTTGATGCCACTCGATTCGCCGTCAAATCACAATGGAGCGGATGGCACCCCAATCCTACCGGCTGTGCAGCAGCAGGCCGGAGATCATCCACCGAGCTTTAGTATGATTGAGCTGGGCAGGAGATATACGTAAGTCCATCTTTGCCCCTGGTTTTACAGCTGGCTACGGCCGTAGCACGGCTTGGGGGATCGTTGCTATTGCCCCTGCCTCACTTGCATAACCCATGCTGGGGTGTATTCTTGGATGTATGCTGACTATGTTTATCTGGCAGACTTGAGGTTATGCAGCAGCCCAAACGAGCGCGTATGTGTGGCTTTGGAGACAAGGTAGGCTGTCGATGGCTCTTTTTTATGTATCCTGTCACTAACTTTCCAGGATCGCCGGCCCATTACCCCGCCACCTTGCATAAGAGTTGTCATAACGGATGTGGCTACTGGGAATGAAATCGATACCAAGTAAGCGTCGCGAGTGCCGGTATCTCGATATACAGTTGCTGACACTTCATAGCGACATTGATCACGGTTCTTTCGTACTGACTGTTGATCTGTGGTCTGCCGATGGGAAGCACGAAGTCAATCTCGTCCGACACTCGTCTGCGTCCCCGGCTATCTCCTCAACTATCCCCACCTCGTACGCTCAGGCACAGGCGGGGGACCACCCGGTCTACTCGAACCCAATGCCAACGCCCACTGGCCCGCCTGGTATAGTCCGCGATCCTCAGTACCCGTACCATAGCAACCAACCGCTACTTCAAGGGCAGTACAACCCTTATCCTGGCCAGCCTCAGGTAAATGCATATGGCCAAACCCAGCAGCAATTCCAACAGGGGCCGCCACAAGGACAGTATGGCCAGCCCCAGCAACAGGGCCAGTATGGTCATGGGCAAGAGCGCCAAAATTACCACGCTGGATCAGGGCCAGAGCCTCCAAACCATCACATATTCTACCATACGGGTGATGCTGTCCATCCGGTTGCCTCCAACGCGCCGAGACCATCGGAGTAAGTCCTGCACCCGAGTCCAATCAGCTTCCCGATCTCATATATGCTAATAAACTCCTCAGCAATCTGATGTACGACCCAACCGCTCCTCCACGCCAAGCTGTCGCCAGCGCGCCACAGGGCATGTTCACCCGCAACTTAATTGGAAGCCTGGCGGCCAGCGCTTCCAAGCTCGCAGATCCCCACGACAAGATTGGCATCTGGTTTGTGCTACAGGACATGAGCATCAGAACCGAGGGAAACTTCCGGTATGTCTATCAATTTCCAATTTCTCTCACCTCACTAACACGCATAGTCTCCGTTTCTCTTTCACCAACGTCGGCGGCCCATCCAAGACCCCCAACGGCAACCCGGCGAACCAGATGTCTGTCCTCAACACTGGCAAGGCACCCGTCCTTGCATTGTGCTACAGCGATGTGTTTACTGTTTACTCCGCCAAGAAGTTTCCGGGCGTGGTGGAGAGCACGCCGCTCAGTAAGTGTTTCGCGACACAGGGCGTTAAGATCCCAATCCGCAAGGATGGTGGTGGAAAGGCGGGACAAGGGAGAGAGGACTATGATGAGGATTAGGGGCATAAAAGAGATGCGGGATTGGGGGGTTTATTGAGAGTTCTGTGGAGAAGACGGTGGGCAGGGACAGTTTTTTATTCGGCGCTCGGTGGGGTCGGCACCTTTGCTATTTTCGTAAGGCGGTGGCTATGTTGCAACCAAAACTGGATAGAACGATGTCCGCGGGGGAGGTTAAGTCTAGCATTTTTACATGCGAGGAAGCTCACGAATGAATGAATATTGATGGTTGTGTCAGTACTTTGCTCTTATTTTGGGGTGGTTTGGTGAGTGTGGTATTTTGATGATTTGAGTTAAATAAAAATAATCAGGGTTAGAAATTCAATTATAATCATGATTATTTACAAAGCCCATAACTTAACTTAGTTAGAGGGAGTTATGCTGGTGTACAAAGTTTTAAACCCATTTTGTGCCAACTATAAGTGTATCATCTTAATTTGTATTTAACCGTTTTTAAAGGAGTAGATTCGCCATTTGCTATATAAGAAGTAGATCTAAGGGGTAGGCCTCATTCGTCTATAGATAATATCCATTAAACAAGCGTTGTTTCCTTAGTAGCTGTGAGTTTAAGGTTTATAGACCATAAACTGCCTCGTGTTAGGCATCCTTCAATGTGTGATTATAAAGTCGATTTAGGAACATCGTATGTGTTTATAGCACCCCTTATACTTATAAAATAGCCATCTTTATAAGCTTAGAGCGCTAGAGTCATTCGACCTCTTTATGGATCGATTAGAGGTCTATTAGTTAAGACATGTTAATTAGAAGGAGGTTAAACGCGTTAGAATTAATGAGGGGTGCGTAGCTTACTTGCGTGTGCAGCTTTTACTTATCGCGTACGTTAGTCATGGTTATTATGATTATTTGTGCTAACTTTGAAAATAATAGATAAGTTACTTTTAGGTTAAATATAATATATTATATTTTAACCTAGGAACTTTAAATCTGTCGAATCGATTAATGAGAGAATATGGCAAAGAGACAATGATTACCCTAGGTTCACATAAAAATATGATAATGATTACACGTCTCACGTGCAACCAACTCCGGTCTACCCAGAAATCCTATTCCGAGCCAGTCCGGAGAAACGTGACTTTTTTTCTAGCATTGACAATTACGTGGCTTCTGATTGGCCAACACACCTGACATAAGCTGCTATACCCATGCAACATTTCCCTTCCAGAGCTAGATACCACAACACCCGAGGTCCTGTGCTGAGCGAACAGCGACACACATCGCCAACGACATCATTCCGAATTCCTCTCCTGCAACCGTAGCCACGGGTTTCCTTTTGACGCCAACAATCGATTGTGCACCTCGGGGGCACTAGCGATATTTCCAATCCCAAGCACGCGTTGATCCTCGCTCTCGCCAGGTCCTTTTCCTTACCCGGTCTCCCAATGGCTTCTCTCCGCTCCTCAGCACGCCTCGTGGCGGCGTCGCGCTCGGCCTTCAGGCCTGCGACTGCTATCCGCTCCTTCGCATCCGTTGCGCCTGCAGCTACCAGCCCAGCTACTGCCCCAAGCAGTGAGCCGGCGCCGGCGGCACCAAGGACCAAGACCTTCCACATCTACAGATGGAACCCGGATGAGCCCTCCACCAAGCCGAAGATGCAGGCTTACACTCTGGATCTGAACAAGACCGGACCTATGATGCTCGATGCGCTTATCCGCATCAAGAACGAGGATGACCCGACACTCACCTTCCGCAGAAGCTGCAGAGAGGGAATTTGTGGCAGTTGCGCCATGAACATTGACGGTGTTAACACCCTGGCCTGCTTATGTGAGTTGCACTGGTCCTTCAGCAGCTACCTGCTGGAATAGAGACTCTTGAACAAATACTGACGCGATATTCAGGCCGCATCCCTACCGACACCACCCAAGAGTCGAAGATCTACCCTCTCCCCCACACATACGTTGTCAAGGACATCGTACCGGATCTCACCCACTTCTACAAGCAGTACAAGTCCATCAAGCCATACCTCCAGCGCACAACCCCAGCCGAACACGTAAGCTTGCCACCTACCGTTTTCATGGGCCAGAGACTAACGCAAAACAGGGCAAGGAGTACCTCCAGAGTGTAGAGGACCGCAAGAAGCTCGATGGCCTCTACGAGTGCATTCTCTGCGCGTGCTGCTCGACCTCCTGCCCCTCATACTGGTGGAACTCGGAGGAGTACCTCGGCCCGGCCGTCCTGCTCCAGTCCTACCGCTGGCTCGCCGACTCGCGTGACGAGAAGAAGATGGAGCGCAAGGCTGCGCTCGACAACTCCATGAGCGTCTACCGCTGCCACACCATCATGAACTGCTCGAGGACGTGCCCCAAGGGCCTGAACCCGGGTTTGGCGATTGCGGAGATCAAGAAGGAGTTGGCTTTCTAGATAGGGTGTGAAAAAGGGGTGAAAGTTGTTACTTGCAGCGGGTTTTTTTGAAGTGTGCTTGTTGGGCGGTGGGTGGATTGGCTTTTGTGTAGAAATATAGGTGATAGTTTTACAGAGGAATGATGATCATCCATGTTATTGTAAAGTTTCCTTGTCAGAGCCAGCCTCCTGATACCCCTTATTGTACATGTTTCCTTCGCCCACGTAAATATATATACACATCGTGCAGAACAAACTTGGTTCACACGTTATGGATTCTCCGGATTCAAATGAATATCCCTGGGACGACTGCTTTAGTCTCAACCCCCTCGAGTAAGCCTATATTGATTAGCACCCATCCATCCTAGTGCCTAAGAAAGTCCTACCCTCCGTCCTTCTCCAACTTCAGCGGCGTAAAACTGCCAGACCCAATCTTCGGCTTTGTCGTTGCCACCGCCTTCTCATCGTCATCCCCGCCGCATCCACAGTCGTAGAAGTCCCCAATCTTAGAACAGTCGAACAGCTCCTTCTTCAGCCGAGTGTTCACCTCATTATGCACATGGCACGCCCACGTCGCTGCGCTCGACCGCGTCCGTACCTGCGGTGGGTACTTTTCTAACAAGAGCTGGAAATGCCGTGCACATTCGCCGCATGGGTATAATCGTGCAAAGAGGTAGACAAAGGATTTGAGCGACGTGCTGTCTTCTTCCGTCGGCTGGTCCGGGAATTTCGCCATCATCGTGTGGAGCAGCTTCCAGGCTGCATTGCCCAGTTCAGCTCTGTCGATTGGGTTAGCCGCTGCGATCAGAGAGGTGCGACGGTGTCTTACTTTATTGTTGCATTCTCGAGTTTTGGCGCTATTGCGACGCCGTGGAGCACGCTGTCGCTAGGGGCGACACTCGTATCAAACGCTGCACGTTGTTGACCCCCACTCGAGAGGAGGAATGAGAAAGCGATGAACACTACGATGGCGATGAGTGCCAGCGTCACATGTCGCCGCGGAGGCATTTCACAAAGTTGGACCTTGCAGATGTTGTGAGTCGATATGAGCCATTACACATCTTACTCTAGTTCGGCCTGAAACTGGGGATATGCCTGTCGTCGCCGCTAGCCAGCCTCGTTCGGTAGCCTCGCAGCCTCGCCACAAATCAACACAGCCCAAGTTGGAACTTCTACCCCACGTTTTGACTCATCGTCTACATTTAAAATAGCGATCAGGCAATCTCTTGCTCTGCATCTGAGATCATCTTGTTCGTACTGACAAGCGCTTTGTCCTACTAATATTCTCTTTTGCATTGATTGTTTTTCGAAAACGTTTGAAGTCGCCATATTTGGAAGGCGCAAGTTTATTTAATATTCCCTCTTTGTTCGCCACCATTCGAGAGACGATAGAGTACTTTACTCTACTTTACCGTAGAAAGTTGGATCACCGCCACTTTTTTGGACGAGACAACCTTAAAAAAGGCAATCACGAAAGTGGCAACTGCGATCCCTGCTACGTATACAGATAGAGAAGAAAGAATGTCAACACCAGGCGCACCACCAGCACAAGGTGCAGGTCAAGGCGGAAGACCTCGACATTATAGAAGACCACGGCGAGGCGGCGCACAGAACGGCACTGCTCCTGCCCCGGGAGCGCCGCGAGACTCACCAGCACAACCAGCCCAAGGAAACGCAGACACTGTTCCTCCAGCTCCAGTGGCGCCGCAGGCAGCTCCAGGCCTGAATCCAAATCCAAACCGAAGGAACAATGGGCAATCAAATCGAGGCAGGGGCGGAAGGCCGGGTCAAAAAGGAGGAGCGCCCAGGCATGTGATGGGAGGTGTTGGGGGAAGAGCGTTTGGCGGGAAGCTCACATCCGCAGGAGGAGCAAGCGGAAGCTCAGCATCTTTATCGCTGCAGGCTGACGCACCGGCATTTACACCTGGTCAAACAGTAGTTCCCAGAACCACTGCCACTCACAACTACCCCCCGCCAAATATCGGGAGGCAGCGACGGCTTTCGAAGTCGCAGGCTGCGGATATTGCAACTAGAACCCACGAGGACATCTTACACGGCTTATACGAATGTCCAATCTGCACAAGCGAAGTGCTCAAGAACTCAAAGGTGTGGTCGTGCAAGACCTGCTGGACCGTTTTCCACCTGTCATGCGTCAAGAAATGGGCGAAGAACGAGGGGTCTACGCAGAAGAACCGACAGCAACTGCAGGATGGAGAGCTGCCACCGGCGAGGCAATGGAGATGTCCTGGGTGCAATCTACCCAAAGATGATATGCCGGAGTCGTATACGTGCTGGTGTGCAAAGGATGTCGACCCAAAGGCCATTCCTGGACTACCACCGCACTCATGTGGACAAACCTGCGGGAAGCCTCGAGCACCACGGAATTGCCCGCATCCTTGTGACCTGATATGCCATGCTGGACCATGCCCGCCATGTCCTCACATTGGACCTGTACAGGCTTGTTTCTGTGGGAAGTACGAGGTTAGTAAGAGGTGCATCGACACTCATTACGACAGTGGCTGGAGCTGCGGCAAAAAGTGTGGTGATATGATGCCCTGTGGCAAGCATGAGTGCGAGAAGGGCTGCCATGAAGGACTCTGCGGAAGCTGTGAAGTTCTCGTCGAATCGCGTTGTTATTGCGGAAAGGTTGAGAAGATGATGCCTTGCTCGGATAGAGGCGACGATAAGGACAGTAGCATTGTGAAGGAGAGCAACGAGGTTGACAGCTGGACCGGATCGTTCGAATGTGGGAACGTTTGCAAACGTGCCTATGACTGTGGACGCCATTTTTGCGAGAAGAGCTGCCATAAACAGACAGGCGATGTACCACATTGTCCACTATCGCCGGATGCCGTCACCTACTGCCCTTGCGGAAAGAGTACTTTGAAAGACCTGGACTGTACGAGAATTTCCTGCGAGGAGCCCATTCCGCATTGTCAGAAGCTGTGCTTGAAACAGCTGGCTTGTGGACATGAATGCCAACAGAAATGCCATGAAGGAGAGTGCTTGCCTTGTCTCAAGGTAGTGCCCATCGTCTGTCGATGTGGACGAACGACGTCATCAACTATCTGCCACCAAGGTACGGAGACTCTCCCGCAGTGCATGAGGATTTGCAAGACAGCCCTCAACTGCGGACGACACGAGTGCGGAGAGCATTGTTGCCCTGGCGAGAAGCCTGCTGGGGAACGCATTGCAGCGAAGCGAAAGCAGAAGGTATCTCGTGGGACAACGGAAGACTTTGAGGCCGAGCATATATGCACGAGAGTCTGCAGGAGATATTTGAAATGTGGGAATCCAGAGCATACCTGTCAAGAACTCTGTCACCGTGGCGCATGCGGCGCCTGTAGAGAAGCCATCTTTGATGAGATCTCTTGCAATTGCGGTCGGACTGTGCTTCACCCGCCACTACCATGCGGCACTCAGCCGCCTCCTTGTCCACACCAATGCAATAGGCGCACCGCATGTGGCCATCCCCCAGTCAACCACCAATGCCACGGCGATGGAGAGTCCTGCCCCAAGTGCCCGTACCTTGTGCAGAAGACATGCATGTGTGGCAAGAAAATCCTTAAAAACCAACCTTGCTGGTCCACCCAGATCTCCTGTGGACAGACTTGCGGACATCGCCTTCGTTGTGGCATTCACTCGTGCCAGAAGCCATGCCATCGGGCTGGCGATTGTGAGGATGCTTTCCTCACCCAATGTCTCCATGTCTGCGGTAAGACCAAGACCACACCCGGTTGCGGCCACGTTTGCCTCGAGCCCTGCCACGCGCCATATCCGTGCAAAGAAGACAAGCCGTGCCATGCAAAGGTTATCATAACATGTGCCTGCCAGCACCTAAAGCAGGAAATACGTTGCCTAGCCACCAAAGCGATGCCAGTGACTGAACGCAAGACCCTGGCCTGCGACGACGAATGTCTCCGCCTTCAGCGCAATGCCAAGCTTGCTGCCGCCCTCAATATCCCATCCGACCACACGGATGACCATATTCCATACTCCACCACCACTCTCGACTACTTCAAAGGAAGCCCGAAGTGGTGTCAGACGCAAGAGCGCGAGTTCCGCGTCTTCGCTGCCGACACGACTGCCAAGCAGTTCCGCTTCAAGCCCATGTCCGCCGCCCAACGTGCCTTCCTGCACTCCCTCGCTGAAGACTTTGCCCTCGACACCGAATCCGTCGACCCGGAGCCTCACCGACACGTAGTCCTCTTCAAGGCGCCACGCTTTTCCAGCGCACCGATGAAGACACTCGGCCAGTGCCTCAAGCTTCGCCCCGTGGTCGAGGCGCCCAAGAACGCCCCAGCAACCACGGGTGTTCCGTTCAATGCGCTGCTACTCGCCAATCCACGCTTCGCACTCACCCTCGATGAGCTCCGCACTGCTGTTGCATCCGATCCGGCAACCGCGCAGATCGCGGGGTGGAAAATAGAGTTCCTCCCTAGTGAGGAGATCGTGGTACGCGCGAGTCTTGCAGATGGCGTCGACGAGGCAACCCTGCTGCGCCTCAAGCCTGCACTTACCAAGGTGGTGCTCGAGAAGAAGCTGGCGGGAGCTGTCGCGCTCTGCACTGTGGATGCGAGCTTGAATGTTTCACGGAGAGAGGACACCGGCTCTGCGGGAGGGTGGAGCCAGGTTGTCAAGGGTGCGCCTGTGAAGAAGAGAGTCGTCGACGAGTGGGCTGCCAGTGGCAAGAATTCGTTTACGGTTCTTGGGAGCAAAGCGGCGGGGAAGAAGAAGGAGAAGGAGAAGGTAAAGGAGAGAGAGAGGCAGGAGAGCGTTGTGGAGAATTGGGAGGATGCGGTTGGAGCGTGGGAGGAGAGTGCCGAGGGGGCAACCGCCGCAGCCGTTGCTGGTGAAGTCGATGAAAGTGAGTGTGAGTGTAGCAGAAGAAGCGCCGGCACTAGTCAGTGACTGAATGAAAGATGGCGAGTAAGGAGTGGGGGAAGTGTTGTACAGTAATCACTGCCTATAACGGATGGGTCGGTTCGAGGTTACATGAAGTAGTTATAGTACATACCCATATCACATGACGCCCCTACAATCCTGCCCCTATACCCCCCAACTAGCCCTTTAGAGTAGACTGTTTCTATAAATATACCTATACAACCTCTATTTTCCGAAGCTCTCTTTTTAATTGAGCAGGGTTAGAAAATCAATTATGATATGATTATTAATAAAGCGTATAACGTACATGTATAGCGAAAGCGCCAAACAAGCGAAAGCGCCAAAATTATCTACCCTCACGACAAACATTGCGATAAATCTACCACAACATTAGAAATCAATTGAAACTACTCGGAGTCCTCTTCCTCAGAGGTGTCTATTACAATCTGACACGTGCGCGCATTGTGCCCAGTCTCACCACACTTGCCACAGCGACGGGCACGGGTTTCTTCCCTTGGCTTCCGACCACGGCTTGCCCTTATTTCCTGCTCTACCTGCTGCACAACATCCCTCTCATCCTGTAGCTCTTGCGCCCCTTGTTGACTAAGTGATCCTCCTTGCTGTAGTCGTGTTTTCCTAGCTCTCCGGCGCTTGCTTAGTACTTCATTTGCCTGTCGTAGGTTTTGGTTCTCTCCCTTTAGCAGTGCTAATTGATGCATTATTTGCGATGCACCCTTTGTAAACTGGTCAACAGCTGCATAGATTGAGGTTGGAGAGCTATTTTGATGGCGTGAAATCCGAGTTTTAATAAATATAGACTGTGACATAGCTTCAATTGGGTTGTTTGGTGTCTGAGAAACCCAAGGTTGAGCAGTACCTGGGCGGGAGCTTGGAGGCGTTGGTGTCCTTAACTTAAGATCAAGTGTAGATATCACTCTCTCAGGGTCAAATGGAAGAAGCCCTGCCCCTCGGAACCCGCCTCGAATGTTACTTTCCGTCATTGTAGTGTTAAATGCAGCGTGGAAGGCAGGAAAGAAGTCATCCTTTGTAATATGAGAAATATGAGCCTGCATCATATCTTCAATTTGCCGACCATAGGCCTGCTTTAACGGGCCGAAACAGCCAACATCAAGTGGCTGGAGTAGATGAGAAGAGTGAGCAGGCATACAAAGCGTAATAATGTTGTGTTCCTTGCAGTACTCCTCAAACTCATCTGAGTGGTGGCTCTCATGACCATCAAGGACTAACAAGCGATAACCACCAACACTCCGGGCCTTTGTATGCTTCTCAAAGTGCTGAATCCAATCCATGCCTCTCTCGTTTGTAGTCCAGCCATTTTCAGTAACAGAAATCACCCAATCGCTTGAAAATCCACTATTCTCATACCAAGATGTAAGGTGGTTTTTGCCTGCAACAATGATAAATGGTGGTACTGCCCAACCTTGAGAACTAACGCCTTGGATTACTGTAACCCATTCCCGATTACCAGGCTGTACCTTCTTTGCTTTTGCCCACCCGTCTGAGCTTGTTACAACCATAGCAGTTGAGATAACGCCCATCATAAACCCAGTCTCATCAAAGTTGTAGATATCTGCTTCATCGATACCATATTTTGCAATTGTGTTACGCACAAGCTCAAACCAGCCATTAATAACTTCTGGATCTTCGCACTTAGCCCTCTGGTAGTCGTATTTGCGCTGAAAGCGTGTCTGGAGCTCTACACGCCGCTTAACAAAGTTTGAAGCCCAACGCGACCCAACGCGTGACGCGTCGCGTGTTGCAAGTAGTCGACTTGCCATATCTTCAACAACAGACAGCCGAGGAGGAAACCCTTTGGCAGCTAGGTCGAGTATATACTGAACAAGGACGGACTCCTCTAGGTTAGTTAATTTCCGTGAGTTGGCTTGGATATCGCGTCGTGAAGGTACACCTTCTAGACGACGACCTAGCTTGCGGTGGTCCACAGAATAGATCCTAGCAGCAACTCGAAGGCGTAACTTTGGGTCGCTTTGCATAGCCTGGATAGCTAGCACTAATTGGCTTTCATCATTTTTATGGGGCATGTTTTGTTGTTGAGGAATTTAACATTTAGTTGGGGGGTTTGGTCACCGCATCATTTTGGCGCTTTCGCTTGTTTGGCGCTTTCGCTATACATGTACGTTAAGTTAACTAATAATAACGTATGTGTATAGCGAATGTGCCAAACTAGCGAATGTGCCAAACTAGCGAATGTGCCAAACTAGCGAATGTGCCAAAATATCGCGATGATAGAACCCTGTAACTAAATGTTAAACTCCTCCACAACAAAACATGCCCCAAAAGAACGATGAAAGCCAGTTGATCCTTGCGATCCAGGCTATGCAAAGAGACCCGAATTTGCGTCCTCAGGTTGCTGCTAGGATGATCACCGGAAACTAGGTCGCCGCATGAACGGTACGCGTCTACGACGCGATATTCTAGCCAACTCGAGGAAAATAACCGACCTAGAGGAATCAGTTCTTATTCAATACATTATCAACCTAGGGGCAAAAGGATTTCCTTCCCAGATGTCTGTTGTTGAAGATATGGCGAATCGACTTCTAGCTGCACGCGACACACCACGCGTTGGAACGCGTTGGGTTTCCCCCTAGAACTCCAGACACGCTTCTAGCGGAAATATGACTATCAGAGAGCTAAATGCGAAGATCCAAAGATTATCCGTCCTTGGTTTGAGCTCGTACGTAGCACAATTACAAAGTACGGAATCAACGACATAGATATATACAACTTTGATGAGACGGGGTTTATGATGGGTGTTATTTCAACTGCAATGGTCGTAACAAGCTCAGACAGTCGTACGAGAGCTAAAAAAATACAGTCTGGCAATCGCGAATGGGTTATAGTAATTCAAGGCGTTAATACTCAAGGCTGGACAGTGCCGCCATTTATCATTGTTGCGGGTAAAAATCACCTCGCGTCATGGTATCAAAATAGCGGGTTTCCACCTAGCTGGGTGATTGCAGTTACAGAAAATGGCTGGACAACGAACGAGAAAGGTATGGATTGGATTCGGCATTTCGAGAAGCATACAAGGACTCGAACTGTAGGTGGTTATCAGTTGCTGATCGTTGATGGCCATGAGAGCCACCATTCGGACAAGTTCGAGGAATATTGCAAAGAAAACAACATAATCACACTTTGCATGCCTGCTCATTCCTCGCACATCCTACAGCCACTCGATGTTAGGTGTTTTAGCCCATTAAAGAAGGCATACAGCCACCAAATCGAAGATATGATGTGGACTCATATCACGCACATTACCAAGGATGATTTCTTTCCTGCCTTCTATGCTGCATTTAATATTGCAATAACAGAAAGCAATGTTCGAGGAGTGTTCCGAGGTGTAGGACTTCTTCCATTTGACCTAGAGAGTGTGATTTCGACACTTACTCTTAGGTTGAAGACGCTAACGCCCCCCAGCTCCCGTCCGAGTACCGCTCAACCTTAGGTTTCCCAAACACCTAACAAACCAATTGAAGCCTTATCACAGTCTACTTTTATTAAAAATCGAATTGCGCATCACCAAAATAGCTCTCCGACTACAATATATGCAGCTGTTGACCAGTTCACAAAGGGTGCATCACAAATAATGCACCAGTTCGAGTTACTACACATAGAGAACCAAAATCTTCGATGAGCAAATGAAGTACTAAGCAAACGCAGAAGGGCTAAAAAAACATGACTACAACATAGAGGGTCACTTACTCAACAAGAAGCGCAAGGTCTACAGGATGATAGAGACGTTATACATTAAGTAGAACAAGAAACAAAGGCGAGTAGTGTGTAATGGTGGGTGCACCAGATGTGAGAATCTAGCCACCCAAGGAAGGGATGAATTTACTAAGACAACACACTGTCTTAGAAAACAGAGCCAAAGGGTCGTAGCTTAGACTATTCCACAATGCAGCAATCAGGTGTGTGATGTAGTGAAGTGGTTCAGACAAGTTGCAACAAATGTTGAGTCTGAGAACTCAGGGGTAAGTCAGAGGTTAACACCTCACTGACTTTTCAGAAACAAGGAGTAACAAGATGAATGCTTGGAAGCTTGGAAAAGACGTGGAAGTATGTGATAGTCAATTTACTGTATTGTCTGCTTGCCCTTTCTTAAGGAAAGGGCAATCCTATTTATGCTAAAGGAATGTAGTTCTCTCATTTTCCAAGACTTTCCATGACTTACCAGGTGTAAGGAAGGCCATCACGTGCCACCATGTGAGGTCCCTTTCATAAGCGGCCCATAGGGCTCAGTAAAATAGGGCACAAGGTGCATAGATAAAAGGGGTTGGAGGCCTCGGAAGAAGGCCTCCAGTCAATAGTCGATGTATCTACATAGACCTATTGTGCTTACAGAATACGATACCTTCCTGCCTCCTGACCTGGTTCCCTGGACTCCCGTGAGACCCTTAGGCTTACGCTTTACAATTCTATTGACTTTACCCATATCCAGCCTACTGGGTCAGGATGGCAAGTTTGGAAAGACGGATTACTCGAGCGACCTCGGGGGGAGCGACATCAGCCACCGAGGCCACCGAGGCAGCTCCAGGACCTACGACCCAAGAAATTGACGACTTGGTGGCCGACCAAGGCGGGAATATGGCCTCGAAGTTGGCCGACCTTCAGAAGCGAGTGGAAGAAGAGAGGGCCTACTTCAACACAATGAAGGAAGCCCTAGAAGTATTCCGAGGATCGCACGGTGACGATTACAACGCCTACCCTGAGGCGGTACGGGATTTCGAGAAGAAGCAAGCCCGGATTCAGGAAGAGAACCGTCGAAAAAGGCGACACCAAGATATCGAGGACGAGTGGGAAGGACCCCAACAAGAGGAGGAGGCAGAGACTGCCTCTACCGTATCAATGGAGGTCACACCAGCCCAGAGACCAATGGGAAGGGTCAAGGAACCTAAGGTATATAAGGGTGAACCCATCCGAGAGCTCAACGAGTTCATGGCCTCGATCCGTGCTATCTTCCGATACCAACCAAGGGCTTTTCC